CTACGGATACTCCGGCGGCAGGGAGGACGGTGGAATCCAGAACTCAGTCAATCAATCGTCAGGTCCCTGCGTCAAACTGCGACAGGTTTTTGGACACAAGTTCCTCCTTTTCCCTCTGCGATGATTACAGACCGTACTTGAAAAATGCAAGCTGCGATTTTCAAGTTTTCTTCCAACACTACAGATACTCCGAATATCAACTTCTCCGGCTGACCTCCATACCAAGCTTCCCACTGCAACCTGCTGTTTCTGAGCCTTAAGAGGGTGCCTCCTCGCACCATGCATTCTCTTTGCGGACCTCCTCTTCCTCTTCTGGAGTGAAGTCGTTGGGGATGTTAAACCTAAGACGGATCTCCTCGGGGGTCTTGCACTGCTTGATGTACTCCGCAACCTGCACCCAACATCAGTCCGATTATGTGGCAAGCATGTTCCCTCTGTTTACCGTCTTGCAAGTAAGATCGAGAAGATCTTTGATATCGAGGAAATTCGCTGCAAGAATCAAGTGGAACAGTACTTCATCTTCCACTTCTACGTATTTCTTATCCCAAGCATCCTTATCTTCTTGTGAAGCATTTGATTTGTCAAAGTCATGATGCTTCTTGAGGTATTCCAACACTTTCTCGAGGACATTCGCACTGCAACTCCTGTCCATGAGGGGAACAGGATCCGTCTGATCTTCGGCCCCCTCTTCTGGCTCAGGGAGATCTATGAAATCAGTGAGTACGCTTGCGAGTAAAGGATCATACCAGTCACCTTCAAGCATCTGCTTGATCACAGTGCTACGCATTGCCACATCCCATGGAACTTGAAACGTTTGCTTGTCCGGGGAGAGCAAGGTTACCATTCGCTGTTCCAACGTCAAAACCGTGCAAGATTATGTCAGCTTATATCAAGTGACCTTCGAGGAAGACATCTTCAATGCTGGACCTTAAAACGCCAACTTGAAGATGATATCCCTGTAAACGACTTTGGTGATTGAAAGTAAGATGGAAAGGGACGAAGTCTTCATCAACTTTCAACTTTCAACGAAACCACAAAATGAAACGTGAGAGAATGGAAAAAATTGGTATCAAAATACGGGATCCTCCATCTCACAACGACAGCCAGCAGTTGAAACGAATCTAGATGAAAAACGTTCGTGTTTCTTTAGGTCATGTGGTGACTTCCAAAAATGCTTCTCACATATTCCAACAGGATCTAAGACATCAAGCATCGTTCAACGTAGCTCTTTCAAAGGAACAACAGCATAATTTCATCGCTCATCATCAACATTTCAGGGCTGTGCCCGTCCGCCAGCCGCCATTGACGCCTCCGCTGCCTCCGCCGTGCCATCACCTGCCTCTGTAGTGGTTTCAAACGGGTTTGGCCCTTAGTTCAATACAAATCAAACCATATCTTAATGTTTCAAAATTGGACGAATAATTTTCCCCCTTCGACTCAAGTATCTTGGGAGCGGCGAAATTTTGGCGGGACATCCACCCTCTTTCATGTACCAGATTTCTCCTAGACAAGACGGGTAGGGTTGTCTTCATCCACGGGTACTTCTACCTTTCACATGGGGGGGTGGACCACATGGTCATTGCATTTGAGAGGTCGTCTTGAAAACTCAGTACCACGGATGTTTTAAAATTTGTAGAAACTTCGTACTAAATAAAAACACAATTGTACCGATTCGTAATTGACTATCTCATATGTCATGGAGTTGCTCGTGTTCTGCCCGTGGAATCTGGGTAGTACCGGGTACTTTCAGGCCTAATCTTGAGGAGATCCAAGGGTGGGAAGTTTCACGGTCAATGGGCAAACACCCGCAATTCCTTTAGGAGGAAGACAGACTGTTCACAGGGGGTAGGGGTACTGGGCACGACGCCAGTGGGGTACAAAGTATCGGCTAAAGTACGGGTGTGTACTTGGGGACTTCACTGTGATAGCCTATAGTGGGGGTATTCGGTGGGTCCCTCAGAAATTTCAAGTTCTCAATACAAATATTGATATTTAACTTCAAAGATGAATAAAGGCATTTAGAAATGAAATGAACGCCTTGTTGACCTCTACATTTGAAATCTCGCATACCACCCTGGCCTCTCAAGAAATTGCCTCACCCCACCTATTATTTCTGACCATTTTTCTACGGAAAAATCCCTTTCATTTCAGCATTGCCCGTTCAGGTACCCACCCCTGATCTGCGTTTCCTAGCAAGTTGAACTTTCGAGTTAAAATTGCAGACCCCCTGTTTGACTCCTATGGCGTCGTATTGACGATGGTAGGGGTGGTTGGGCTTGAGATAGGAGGGTGAAATTTTGATGGACCGAAAAGGACGGGTACCACGGAACGAGGTTTTTGGAAGTGGGTAGGGTGGGTCAAGTCCTCATAGGAAGGAAGGGTTAAAATCAGGTCAGATGGAGGGGTGAACCTCATTTTGTTTTCAGGTATGGGTAGGGTCAGGTAGATCTTCAGGTGGTGGGTATAGGGTTGATACAATGCGCAGTAAAGGGGAGATGGGAACGTGGAGAGATGGATAAAGAAGGGGGAGAGGGAGAGAGAGAGGGAGAGAGGGAGAGAAAGGCAAATTGAGTGATAGAAGACAACCGCTGAAGGAGCAAGTTGAACGGATTGACCATCTTCTGTTTGATGATTAGCCGCAAAAGGAAAGGTGCATTGGTTGTCTCTGGAGAATCTTGTCCTGTGCTTTTGAGTTACTACAAAGGTTAAATAGTTTATCTAAATGCTCTCCGTTTTGATTACGCTGTCATGTCATGGTCGTTGAAGTGTGTTTCAACAGGTCCCGAGGACTCATAAATGATTCGATGGACCTATGTTTTCATCTGATTCTATTGAGTCACTTAAAAGCAGGGAGGCGTAAGGAGTTTTAGAATGTCTCTGTACCCTCCACAGAACTCCAGTAGTGAGAGCGAAGAATGGGAGGACGAATACTCCGGGGACGAGAGCCTGGACGACAGCTTCAGTGACAGCAGCTGCAGAACCCAAGAATACAGGAGCAGAAGCAATAGTTTGGACTCGAACAGCAGTTCTGCAAGTGATGATGAGTTGGACTACAATACTCTGGACCATGGATCTTTGGACCAAATCCCCTTCCTGCACGATCAGTTTGAGATCCATCGAGGCTATCGACAGAATCGTCGGAGCCGAGGGGAAGATGATTCTGCACCCAGCTGCCCTCAGAAGAGGACAAGACTGGGTTGCCACGGTATTGAGCTCAACCACCAGCCATCCGATATGGTCGGTCGGTCCGATTTGAGGTCGAATGCTAGGAATCTCCGGAGTGACAGCAGCTCCAGGGTAGAAGGGCTGTCGAGCAGCAATTCCTCAACAGATAGGAGAAATTCGAAGCAAGATGACGACTGGCGCAAAGCACTTGAGCCAGCGCAAACCCGAGTCTGCGAAGGAGGGGTCAAAGTTGCGATGCGAAGTTTTGAGCACTGCCATCAGTTCTTTGTTGAGAGGCTTTCGGCTCTCAAGGGCGATGAGCTCGTGGTTGAAGGCCCTCTGACTCTTAAATTGTTCGACCCCGTATCCCTCTGCAGGCTAGAGACTCCATGCCGTGGCCATCTATGTCAACATATGGAGGTGTGTGGAGGCTCTGGGGGCGGAGGGACCTGTATCGTAACCCCTTGTTTTGACAAGGCCTTTGAGTTGTGTACATATTCGAGGTTGAACACGTCCGAGCTGGAAGATCCTGAGATTGTCGAGATGCCCAAATGTCCAATATGTACATGCACATCAACAGACGGGGGAGAGCACCTGATGCTATGTCCAGGTGAAATGGAGATCCCGCCAAGTTGTTTGGTCGTCGATACGCTCATTCTTCGATTGTTGCGAGCGAGTGAGGACACTTGTTGCGGTGGGAATACCCTTTTCTGATGGGAGACCAGCAAATTCAAGGGAGGTTGAATTATCAGTGGGAGATTTGCCCGGCTCGGATAATGCGAAAGAGAAGGATGTAATCATCGCAGAGAAGGTGATCTGACTGCAGCAAGTATGAAGAACTAAATTGTTCCTTGAAGGCGGTCTTCTGGAGCAGTCCTCAGGGCACACACAGCAACCAGGTGCGAGTCGAAATCTCAATCGGCAGTGATGGCGAAGACGATTGTGTGGTTGTTGAATCCAAGGCACCCCCATGTAAGCTTTCTTACCAGTGGTTCTATCTGTCTTTAATTTCATGTCCCAGCCCGAGCAGATCGCTTGCAAATGATAAAAGATCTTGCTCCTGTACAAATCGAGCCACCATTTGTCAAGACACATCGAACTTACATCCCTGGAGATTATTTCAAAAGTTTAGAGGATGAGCGCAAACACAATCAAATGCAACAGATGCGCTTGACCGTCATGCTGACTGTGTTGAACTCTGGCTCCAGAAACGTGCTTGTAGGCTTGGGATTGCGTGAAGTAACATTTCGATGAATTTGTTTATTATCGATAACGGATTGATTCAGGGTGTCGTCGATTCATTAGTATCTAAACGACCATTCAGGGCCCTAGACAAGGAGGGAATGAAGAAATCGATCATGGAGATTCAGGAATTTGGATCAAACGTGTCGCATGAATTCGTCTGATTTCATTCACAGGGAGTCGACAAGCCGGCTGCTGAACATTTTTGGGGCAAGCTGGAGAAATTAATAGACAAAATTCTGGATTCTAAATCTCGATCCAACCGAGCTATGCGTAACTGGACGACTGCAGGCTCCGCTGGTCTTGCTCCGTCCTCTGGGATGGTTTCTTCCTCCACGAGGTCTCATCCGCTGCCTCCGAACCATCCTGCTGCGGCCTATTGGCCACCTCATATGAATTTGAACTCTGCTTGTTGGAACTTTGGGAGTATACAAGTAGGACCAGGACTAGGACAACGACCAGGACCAGGAACAGGACAAGGGCAAGGGCAAGGGCAAGGGGGGCAGAGCCAGGGGAACAACTCTACGAATGCTGGGCAGCCGAGGGATGGGGACCAGATTGCGAGCATGAGAGCGAGCCGGGGTGTGAGGAGCAGTACGAATGCTGGGCAGCCGAGGGATGGGGACCAGATTGCGAGCATGAGAGCGAGCCGGGTTGTGGGGAGCAGTACGAATGCTGGGCAGCCGAGGGATGGGGACCAGATTGCGAGCATGAGAGCGAGCCGGGGTGTGAGGAGCAGTACGAATGCTGGGCAGCCGAGGGATGGGGACCAGATTGCGAGCATGAGAGCGAGCCGGGTTGTGGGGAGCAGTACGAATGCTGGGCAGCCGAGGGATGGGGACCAGATTGCGAGCATGAGAGCGAGCCGGGGTGTAGGAAAAAGTACGAATGCTGGGCAGCCGAGGAATATGGACCAGATTGCGAGCATGAGAGCGAGCCGGGTTGTGGGGAGCAGTACGAATGCTGGGCAGCCGAGGGATGGGGACCAGATTGCGAGCATGAGAGCGAGCCGGGGTGTGAGGAGCACCAATAGCAGAGGGACAAAACGAGGCTCGTCCAGCGACTCCAACCGGCCGAATACCAGGAGCTCTGACCCAGCCCCTCCCTTTCTCAATGCTGGAGGCCCTGGCTACTTGCATGCTGGGCAGTGCACGTACAATTTTCTTGCGCAGTCAGCCGTGCCAATGCCAATGTACAGCATGAGAGCTTCGAGGAGAGTTGTTGGGAATGGCCCTGTCATGCCTCGCGCTTCTCACCTGTCGCTACAGGGGACTGTGCTGGCCTTTGGGGATCAGAACGTGAATGTTTTCATGCAGCCGCAGGGTTGGACGAGGAGCGCGAAGGAGAGCGGAAGTGCGTCTGATCCGCCTTCTGGGAGCTCGCGGGATGCTCATCGAAATGAGGCGCCCATGAATGCTCCCGTCGACCCCAGCTCGACCCCAGCAAGTGCTTTTGCTCGACCAAATGTGAACCAGCAGGCTAGCCCAGGGGCTCCTTGTCAGGCTCCTCCGTCGGGATTGTCGACCTCGGATGCAGGGGAAGGTGGAGCGGCGAAAGAGAGCTTGAGCCATGGGGACGACAGTTTCAGGTGCAATCGCGACAAGTGAAAGAGAAACGGCTGACTTTTTCTTCTTCTGACAGCAACTTCTGGTCTTTGTGGAATCCCGTCACGAGCGAGGACTTATCGGTCAATACTCTTCAGTTTGATAGCGGGGAGGACGTGTTCTAACCATCCTCTTGCTGCTCTCCGCTCCTCTGGTTGCATTTACCGGTCTTGTCGAATACACAGTAGCACCTCCACGAGCCCCGTGCAGCTTCCCCCTGCCTCCCCCTTCCCCCTCTTCCTCCACCGAGTCTTCTTCTTACACCGTCAGAACGATTCAACAAACGTTTACAGCTATCACAATACAACCACTCTCCCTGGATCAGAGCACTCTCTCGCTCACTCCCTCATGCGTCAGGCTCCAACTTTACCCAGTCCAACCCGTTCCACTGCGTCCACTGCTCACCGTCCCACTTGGTATCGTAGCCCTGTGACAGGGTCAAGAAGAGACGCAGCGAGGAGAGAAAGAAGAAGAGGAGATAAAGATACCTCATGCTTTCCACCCAGAACCTCCTGGCAAGCGGGGTCGAGGGTTCCAGCCTGCCCGCACTTCTCGTAGACTTTCTTCTCCCAGCGCTTCTCGCCCACAGCCTGATGGAAACCAGCCCATGCCTTGGAAAGCTTCTCCTTGAGATCCTGATCCCAAATCTCAGCCACTGAGTCACCGATCGTCCTGTCCGAGCTGCTTACGTCATCAGGCACGTACGGCTTTCCGTCCCAAACTTTGTCGATTCCGTCCGGCATGGTCTGCAAGGATATCAGAGGACGGCGACAAGGAAAGATCCTGCAACATCACCTGTGTGGAGATCGCATGAGTAAGGAGGGCATCGGCAGCCGCGAGCTCCTTTGAGTCCGGCAGACCCTGAGGAGGGGGCAGGCCGTCAGACAAGGGAAGGACATTGAAGACAGCCTGCACTTACTCCCTTCTCCTGCGGCAGACCTTCGTATCCTGAGCAGTAAAGTGTGAGCGGGAACGATAAGCAAGACATGGTATCACAACCTGCTACAGACACGTCTCCCGGCTTCAAGCTGGTGATGTAGTTGAGGTCGTACGTTGTGTCCTTGCCATAGATGTCCTGCAGCCTGAACCAAGAGATCTTGTCAGATCTTGGTCACGAATCATCGCGAGACTTGCCAGTCACTGTGGACAAGTCGCTGCAAACGGGCCTTGTTCTTAAGTTCAGCTCTGTCCATCGTCCTGATAGCTGATCCCAGCCCCCCAGCAAGCTGCATCTGTGCATGATGTTCGTCAGCTTCTGATCTCTTCGTCATGGAGGACAGTTATGACAACTGACATGCTCTCTTGCCATCTTCATCTGCAGGTTCGCAATTCGCTCACTTCCTCGTGGGATAGCCAAGTCCTTCGATGCCAACATCAGGCCCCGCTCATGGGCACAGCAGCACCTGACCTGTTCATCCAGCACACTGTAGTTGTCCACTTGGGTCAAAATCAACACAGTTGAGACCTGTTGCCAAGAAGTTAGAAAATCTTGCTGCTTGGAGATTCCATGGTATCTCTAACTCTGAACTGAATCATGCTTTCCCCATTGACTTGACGGACATAAACTCCGCCCCGTATCCATCATGTTTTGCTCATCTGTTTCCAATATCTCTTCTTCCTCATGCTCCTCCTCTTCATCATAATACTGCTTGTCCAAAGTTTTGTTCGTGTTACCAGTAAAGTTTCTCTTTCCTCCTGCTCCTGCTGATCTACCACCTCCACCATCTGATCTCCATGCTTCTCCTCCATCAGCTTCTCCTCCATAAGCTTCTCCTCCATCAGCTTCTCCTCCATCAGCTTCTCCTCATCTTCTCCTCCATCAGCTTCTCCTCATCTTCTCTTACCATCAGCGTCGCTGCGGCGATGCCGACCGCAATCGCCGGATTGAGCCTGCGCATTGCCAAGAGCCGCCAAACAGAACGAGGGGTAGGGGTATTGTTGTCTGATTAGATGGTGGGGTCAATTTGAACTTGAATTATGGGGTAGGGGTATCTATGGATGGGGTGGGGTGGAAACACGATAACGTATGTAACGAGAAATCAATTGTAACCGTATTTGAAGAATTGTAACGGTTATTGATCGGGCGAACTGCACGTGCCCTCCATGGCAGGACATAACTGAACGAGCGAGTGAAGGAGCGAAGAGAAGAAGCGAAGAAGAGGAGAGGAGTGGAGAGGAGAGGAGAGGAGAGGAGAGTAGAGGTATGGAACAATCATTGCTGAGATAGTGCTGCTGTTTGAAGGCGTCAAGATCGAAAGTAGGTTGGAACAGTGGAAACAGCCAACGAGCACACTGAGGAGAGATGGTCAAGGCGTATCAGCGATACTCCCTGCTTGACAACTCAACCCTTGGAGTGATCGCATCTGCCGGCTGTGCGGATGCCCTGTGGGTGGATGACTCGGGGAACCTTGTGCTGACGGCTAACTTGGACTCTCTGGTTATCTGGAACCTTCGGACCTCTACTCCAATCTCAACCTTCAAGGAGGACAACAACGAGACAAACTCTGAGATCACTTGCCTGGCCAAGGACGAGCAGGCAAGACTGATATGCTCCGGCCATCAGGATGGGAAGGTGAAAGTCTGGGCGAGGGTCTCGTCCTCTCTCCAGATGTCACTGGACGGGCATCGCTCAGCCGTCCTGTGCCTCTCCTTCAACGCGGAAGGAACCTTGCTAGCTTCCGGCTCGCAAGACACAGACATAATCGTGTGGGATGTTGTAGCAGAGAGCGGGTTGTACAAGTTGAGAGGTCACAAGGACGCAGTGACGAGCCTTCACTTCCTCGCCGGGGAGGGGTCAGGCAAGCTAGTCAGCTCGTCCAAGGACGCCCTGATCAAGGTCTGGGAGCTCGATCAGCAGTGCTGTGTGCAGACGCTGACGGGACACCGGAGTGAAGTCTGGTCTACGGCGGTGGACGTGCATGGGAGGAGGATGGTGTCGGGGGGAGCAGACGGTGAGCTACGAGTGTGGGAGCTTCAAGCTCAGAGCGCGATGACGCGATCGGGAGTCGAGATGCAGCAGGATGAGAACATCTCTTTCGTGGGAAGTTTGATCCGGACAAGGTGGGTTCTGTCGGAGGGGGAGGGGGAGGAGGGAGGGAGGGGGGGGGCGGGGGGGGCGGGGGGGAGTGGCGTGCTGGAGGGAGGAAGTTGGAAGGGGAGGAAGTAGGGTAGTCATCGAGTGATCAGAAGAACAGAGTTGAGAAGGAGGAGAGGAGGAGGAGGAAAGTGATGGTGTTGTTGTTGCAGTCGATCGCGTGTCGGGAAGCTTTCCTTCTGCGGTGATGGCAGGTTCCTCTTGTGCCAGACGGTGGACAAGAACGTTCAGATCTTTCGGATCCGCTCGCACGAGGATGCAGTGAGGAAGATGAAGCGCCGGCAGAAGCGGCAGAAGCAGAAGGCAGCGGAGGGAGGGGGAGACGAGGAGGAGGAGGGGAAGGAGGAGAGGGGTCATCAAGACGGTGCGGGTTCTGACCATCCTTCTGCTGTGGATCTGTTCCAACCGATCTCCTTCTTCTCAACCTCGAACAAGATCCGCTCAGCTATGGGGATGGTGTCGACGCGCAAGGGCGAGGCCCAGGAGAGGATTAAGATCTTGACCTGCCTGACCAACAACGCGGTGGAAGTGTGGGAGGTGAGACTGGGAGGAGGAGTGATGCAGAAGGGGGAGTTGCAGACGAAAGGGAAGGGAAGGGGGTAACGTAGAGAGGAGTTAGGAGAGGGGTGACAGGGGGAGGGGACGGGAAGGAGAAGGGAGAAGTAGAAGGAAAGGGAGGGAAGCTGGGAGCAAGGAGGAGCATCAGCAGGAAAGGTGTCTTGAGGAAGTTTTGAAGTTGCAACAGGTGAATGCCAGCAAGGAGCTGCCAGACTCCAAGAAGCTCTCGAGCTTGACCATCCCAGGTCATCGCTCAGACGTCCGCGCCGTCGCCATCAGCGGGGATGAACTCTCGGTAGCGAGCTGCGCCGGAGGGGAGGCCAAGGTATGGAACCTGGGGAGCGGCAAGTGCTTCAGGACAGTCGGGGAGGTAGGATACGGCATCTGCTGCTGCTTCGCTCCGGGGGACAAGTACCTGCTGGTGGGAACGAAGGAGGGGGAGCTGCACATCCTGGACATCGCTGCCGCGGAGATCGTTGAGAGCATCGCGGCGCATGCTGGGGCCCTCTGGGCGCTTCACCTCCATCCTGACGGGAAGACCTTTGTGACAGCAGGAGCAGACAAGGAGCTCAAGTTCTGGACGTTCGGCAGCGTGAAGGAGGAGGACAAGCCAGCGCGACTGGGGGCGGCGGTAAACAAGGCCGTGACGATGGAGGACGACATCCTTGCTGTCTCCTACAGCCCCGACTCCAAGTTCCTAACGGCCTCCCTCCTAGACACGACGATCAAAGTCTTCTACGCAGACAGCATGAAGTTCTTCCTCTCCCTCTACGGCCACCGGCTCCCAGTCCTCTCTCTTGACATCTCCTCGGACAGCACCCTCCTCGTCTCTGGCTCGGCGGACAAGAACGTCAAGATCTGGGGCCTCGACTTCGGTGACTGTCACAAGTCGATGCTCGCGCACAGAGACAACGTGATGGCCGTCAAGTTCGTCCCTCGCACCCACTACTTCTTCAGCGCGGGAAAAGACAAGCAGGTTATACTCGGTCTTTTTCTGCTTTCCTTTCACTTCCTCACCCTTCCATGGACTATCTCTCGCCCCGTCCACGCACTTGCTCTCCTCCTGCTGCACTTGCTGCTTCCTCTCCTGCCTTTCTTGTTCCTCCCCCCTCCTTCCTCCTCCGTCTCATCCTTCCTGCAGATCAAATTCTGGGACGCGGACAAGTTCCAACTCATCACGACCATCAAGGCTCACTTCGCAGAGATCTGGTGCCTGGCCATGAGCCCGAGAGGCGACATCCTCGCCTCGGGCTCGCACGATCGGTCGGTCAGAATATGGAGGAGGACGGAGGAGCACATCTACCTAGAGGAGGAGAGGCAGAAGGAGCTCGACGACCTCCTCGACGCCAACGAGCAGGAGGCTGCTCCTGCTGCTGGAGAGTCCGTCCTGGCGGGCGAGGACTCCGCTGCAGTCGCCAAGCAGACGAAGCAGGTACTGGATGCTGCGGACAGGATCACCGAGGCCCTCGACCTCTGTGCGCAGTTCCCTGAGAAGCCAACGGCCATCCAGGCCGCTATGCTGCTGGGCCTGTCGCCCAACGCGTACTTCCGGCAGGCAGTGAAGCAGATCAGGAGCAGCGAGCTCGAGCCGGCGCTGATGCAACTGTCGTTCGACTACGTGCTGGCGCTGCTGGAGAGGATCGACAAGATCATGGCAGAGTCGCTGACAGCTGAAGCCGAGCTGCTCTCCCGCATCGTGCTCTTCGTGGTCAAGATCCACCATGGCAGGCTGACGACTACTGGCAGCGCGCTACCTCTGCTCCGCTCGCTACGCTCAAGGTGAGACCGCATGAGCAAGATGGGAAATCTGAGAGGATGAGGGTGAGGAAGGGACTATGGAAAGGAACGAGAACGGAGAATAGGAAGGGTCGACAGGAAGAGACGACAGGAATGGGCGATAGGGAGATAGGGCGATAGGAATGGAGAATAGAAGGGTGATGGGAAGAGGAATGAGCTACGTCAGACTGACAACTGTTTACAGCACAAAGAGATCGCTGCAGCAACGGTGTGACAGCACTGGGTTCAACCTTGCTGCTCTCCGATCCATCAAGAGGAGGTTGGAAGCAAACGCCAGCGAGCGGGACATCAGCATGTAGAAGAAGCTGTGCTTTTGTGATATGAAAGCAAAAGGAAACCAACGATGCCGATGTGAATTTATTTGTTGTGCTCTACATGCTCATGAAAGTTCCCGTGCTTTCATTTCATGAAGCGATAGAGATGGGAAGCTGTGAGGGAAGGATTTGGACGAGGGAACAGAACGCTCAACCACGAGAGGTGTTGCACTACTTATCCACATGTCAAATGGCTTCCTTACAAGGGGATTAATCCAGCGGTCAAGATCCTACGATACCAGTATTCCACAAGTTTGGCAAGTGAGAGGGGATTTCGAAACGAACCCTGTTTCACCTGTGCTTATAACACAGCAGATCAGGAAAGGCCACGGTGACAAGTACGCACTTGTGCAGCAGGACTACAAGATACTTCAACATGTTACAGAATCAGCATCAACAACATCAACATCATCAACATCAACATGTTGCAGAACCCTCCACAACATCACCAACATCAGCCTTAGCATGTCCCACTGCCCCTCTCAACTCGCACAACCCTGGGGGAGTCGAACCCCCTACCGAGCCTCTCTCGGGGTCAAAGAGCATTCCTCCTCCGCTATCTCTCCAAATCACCGAGGCTGCAGCTCGCCATGACCACTCCGAGGAGCGGCATCGCTCGCTACAGACACCGATAGAAACCACCCGGGGGGGCGGGGGATTGGCATCATCACTGGAGGAATGCTGTACATTAAGTTAATGCAGTCTAAGGGTTTAACCTGCGGGATCCTCGTTAGAGAAGCACGGGCGAAGGACACGAGACGAGTACACACAAACAGGACTGGCAGGCAACATGCACGCCTCTCGGACACGGCAGGTGCGGGAGGACGATGGATCCGACGAGTGATGGAGAGAGGAGAGGAGGAACAGAGAGGGTGAGGATGGGGGAAGGAGGAAGAGACAGACACATGCTCCATCATCAGCACCTCTTCACCTCCATCACAGCATCATCATCGCCCGCCCGCATGGCACTCACCAAAAGACAAGCGCCACCAATCCCCCCCCACTCCTCTTATTCCCTGCCCCCCACCCCGCACGTGCAGTTGCACGTGTAGCTCAAAAAAAAATCACAGAACTTTCGATGACTTGTCGAGCCCGCCTCTGGAAGTGTGATCACTCAAATGGAAGGGCCGGGCCGGCCGGGCCACCGGGCCACCGGGCAGCGTGCAACATTGTAACGGCTCGGTTACAATGTGTCCCTACTTATAAAGGACGGCTGAATTCATTCTGTTTGAATGCATTGTATTACATTTGAAGATTCTATGAAAATGAATTCAAATCTTTCTCCAATCCGATGAAAATGAATAGATTTCAAAATTGCATCAATGTAAAATTCGAAAAATAAGCGATGCAATGAATATATTTGAGATAAATAGCTGAAAATGTGGTTGAAAATTGAAATGCTGAAAAAGAACGAAAATTGTTACGAGGTAGGGTACATTGCTAGACTCTGAGGGTAGGGTCTTGAACACAAACAATTTTAAGGGGTGGGGTGTAGAGCCATCAATGCTGTTTTGATGGGGTACTACCTTCTAGCTGTCAACTACAACATAGAAGAAGAGAAAACAGTGGGTAGGGTTGTGGTCTTTGTTGCAAAGTATAGCCATGCCTACAGGGGATAGGTGGGGTATTGTTGTGGGGTACACGGTCATGATACAGGGTGGCATCCCCATATGGGTGGTCAGGGGGTTCCAGAACGATAGCACGTCAATTGTGGGGGTACTTGAAAAGCTAGGGGGGTCTATGATATAGCAAAGGTGGGTGATAAGATGGAATAATCAGGGTGGGGGTGAAACAAATAGGGGTGATATCCCTAAGGTTACTGAAGCGCGTAATGCTGCGTAAAGTGTTTGTGGTGATGGCGGCGGTGGAAGGAGCCGCCGCCTTCTCTTCCCTGCTCCCCACTCCTCTCCACTCAGCTTCTGGTTCTCCTTCATCTATCACCCTGAGGTCTCCTCCTGCTGCCCTGCCAGTTCCGGGTTCTCGACGCCGTGATGGAGCGTGCGCTCTCAACATGGGTATGTTCACATTGTAGAGTTTTTTTTGGTTGTTTTGTCTTTGTGAGCACATGCTTTTCTTGTCCATACCTCATCTTTATCCCTTATGAGTTGATGTTTTTGAAATGTTGAAAATTGTTCTACCTTCTTCGCAATCCTGAAAAGCGTTTCGTACTTACGCTCGATCATCAGGCATTGGCGACCGTTTCGTCAGACTCTTTAAGGCCAATGTCAACGAGTTTCTTAACAAGGCAGAGGACCCTGAGAAGATGCTCAATCAGATTGTTGAGGACATGCAGGTCATCCGATCTGATATCCTTCCTAGAAGTGAACCTGATGAATGTGGCAGAAAGAGTTGATTGAATTCAGACAGACCTATGCTGAAGTTGCAGCAAACACAAAAAGGTGTATACTCCTCTTTCCTTCGTATACCCTTTCATCATCTATTTATTCTTCCTTCGTTTCCCTACGGCAGTCCAGCTGATTCTAATGAATGCCACCTGATTATACATGAAATCTTATTTTCGTTCCCCAGGCTGGAAAAGCAGAAGCAGCAGGCCGACCAGTTGGTTGAGGAATGGCTGAAGCGTGCAAAGTTGGCGCTTGAAAAGGGGGACGAAGATGCTGCAAGAGCTGCATTGGAGCGCAAGAATCAGCAGGAGGAAACATCTAACTCTCTCAGAGCACAGCTCGAGACTCAGGTAATGGTGTAGTGTGATAGCAGTATCCTCCATTCATGCTGTATACTTTGCAGACGGTTGCAGTGCAGAATCTTTTCAATCAGATGCAGCAGCTCGAGCAGAAGATTAGCGAGGCAAAGGCCAAGAAAGATCAGCTCAAAGCTCGTGCTCAGACTGCCAAGGTAAACCTCATCTCTTCACTGTTGAAGAGGTGTTTTGTCTGGTCGATGATCCCGTCGCAGGTTTCAACTAAGATCAATGACATGATGTCAAGGTCTTCCAGCGCTGGTGCCCTGGAGGCGTTCAATAGGATGCAGGACAAGGTGACTTGTGCTGTGTTATGTTTTCTGCTCTTTGCTTACAGTACCTGTCAGGTGGAGAGGATGGAAGCGGAGGCTGAAGTTGCAAGAGAGCTGTCCGGCGATTCAAGTGAGGAATGCTGATTGGTTGAGCAGACACTCATTCGGCTCTGCAGGCATGGAGCGCCGCTTCAAGGCCTTGGAGTCGAGCTCTAAGGTCAGTTTCTCCTCCTCTTTGGAAATGAGGCGTCTTATTGTTGCCTTGATCAGGTGGAGGACGACCTTGCTGCTCTTAAGGGTGCCATCGGAGGCTCCTCTGCTCCCAAGTCTTTGTCAAGCTCGAGTCTAGAACTAGATGCCGAACTTCAGAAGTGAGTCAACATATGTCCTGTCGTTGAATAGCAGCCTGCCGCAGAGTTGACTTCTTTGCAGGATGAAAGATGAGATGAAAAAGAATTGAGACATGGGCGGAAAATGATATCAATGGACTTGGAGAGAGCAAGGCCCGGCCCAGTTAGTTTCATGATGGGCGAATCAGTGCCCGAGGGAAATCATTGCTAAGCTCACTGCCGTTGCGGGGAGCGGCGGCAAGTTTGGCACTGGGCGGCATGTAAAGACTGTGATGTCTAGAGGAATCGAAGAATGATTAAATGCCATCAAACAAAGTTGGTTACAGAACAGCTTTAACTGTCACGGTGTCTCGGACACTGACCGTACCGGCCGCCGCTTGTCCGACCGGGAGCCGCGGCCTATCATCAGTGCCGCCAAGTTCAGCCTAGTACCTCACGGTAAACGGTGGAATGTTGCCGCCCGATCATGCCATCTGATTGGCCCGCCCGGATATCGGATGCTCCGACGCCGGATTCGGAAGCCTGGGCCTCCGACTCGGGGCAGCGGCCGCGGCCTCCCGAGCCCGGCTGGCACTCAGCTCCCGGGCCGGCTGAGTCACGGCCCGGGCCGGCGGCATGCCCCCGGCACCGTCGGCATGCCCCCGGCACCGTCGGCATGCCCCCGGCACCGTCGGCATGATGCCAGTGATGATGATCACCGTGCACCGATTCGCAGTGACTCCCGGCTCGGTGACCCGGTGACCGTCTATGTGAGCCGGCCCGGACTCCGAGTACGGTCACGGCCCGAAGATTTTGCAGCATCCAAACTTTTGCAGAACTTCGGTATGTGAATTTCAAACTTCCTTCTGCAACTCCTCCCTCTACCCCCATTCATGACTACAAATTGTGGGGTGGCCATCAGAGAATTGAAAACTTGGTGAGGAGGTCGTTGGTGGGTGGGGACACCCCACCAGGACACCCTGGATGATTCACACAGTGGTAGGGTGCTTCAATGAACCCCTACCGTCATTTTCCTTATCAAAAAGGCTTATCATCACCGGTCATGAATAACCCCCACCCACTCTTTTACGCTGATACAACAGCAGAACCCCGTACGTGTCATGCAGTGCACCATCCCTTCTCCAAATGCGTGACTACCCCAACTTCTGGTACCCCTACCATTTTCTCTGACCCTTCGAATTGGTCAACTACCACAGGGGGTATGGAAAAGTTCTAGTACCCACCATGACAAGACCCCGACAAAACTACTAAAAGTACCCCATTGAACATATAACCCTCCTACCTGTTCTATCCTTCTTCATACCCCCACCCCCTTTTGAATACCATACATGAATATCTACCCCCTCGGAATAAGACCAACCCTACCATGCCGTGGAGGAATTCTCCTCACTCCACAAGGGAAACTAATTCAAAAACCCATCACCTTCACCCACCTTGACCAGAAAACTACCAGGAACGATGGTAGGGGTCATACACCCTACCGTGTATATATTGCTTTATTTACTCAGAATATTACGGGTGTCATGAATAATACTACCGGTCATTTTTCGTACCACCCCATGATGACCCACCACCACAGCACCTCTACCCCTCGAACCGAGGGGAACGAACCCCTACCACCCTTCAGCTCAAACAGAAGTTGTCCCTCCTCTGCTCACGAAGCACTTGTCGCTCTTGAGAAGAAAGGAAGAGAGTGAAAGGAGACATATCATTGCCAGAAAGGCGCCAATCAGTTGAGGAAACAGGGCATAAGTCAGCTTGCACTCTGCAAGTGCGTCCTGTTTGTCACTAGGAGAGATCAACTGAAGCAAACTTGGGGTTAGTTTGTTCTGTGCAACACGGGAGGTCCTTCGACAAAGAAAGGTTGGAATCCTCATTGCGATGAATTGTGAACTCAATTCTTCTACACTTGAACTTCTTTCTTCTCTCATTATAATTTGATGAAATTGAACTTCGCTTGCTATGTGGTCTTCTGATCAATATTTTTCAGTACTGCAACAAAGTTGAGAAACCGTCAAAATGTCCTCGGAATAGTAAGTCTTCTTGATGATTTGAGCCATTATCAACTTGCTGAAACTGTGTGACGTAATTTTTTGCTTGATTTTCTTTCATGTACTCTGTTTCTCTCACCCTGTCTCTTCGCTTGAGTGTCATTTTGTTTTCCCAAAGAACCAAACCCTTTTGGAGGCTAACGATGTTTTTGTATAGCGATTACTTGTTCAAGCTCTTGCTTATTGGAGACTCTGGAGTTGGCAAATCCTGTTTGTTGCTTCGTTTCGCCGATGACACGTACACTGAGAGCTACATCAGCACGATCGGTGTGGATTTCGTGAGTGTGAAATTGTGGATTTCCTTCTCCGAACTGACATTTTTCTCTGTGATTCAATTATGGCTTAAAAGAAAATTCGTACGCTCGAGTTGGATGGAAAGACTGTGAAGCTTCAGATTTGGGACACTGCAGGGCAAGAGCGTTTCAGGACCATCACCTCGTCGTATTACAGAGGAGCCCACGGAATCATCGTTGTGTACGATGTGACAGATCAGGAATCTTTCAACAATGTCAAGCAGTGGATGAATGAGATTGATCGATATGCCAACGACAAAGTGAACAAGATGCTTGTAGGCAACAAGAGTGACCTTGCCAGCAAGAGGGTGAGTTTGTTCTGTCTGACACGCTTCTTCTCATGATCCCCCGCTAGGCCGTGGACACCAGCGTTGCCAAGGAGTATGCGGACTCGTTGGGAATTCCATTCTTGGAGACGTCTGCCAAGGACTCAACCAACGTCGAACAAGCTTTCATCACGATGGCGGCTGAAATCAAAGCTAGGATGGCTCAGGCTCCTGCTGGCAAGGAGGGATCTGCCTCGATTCAGGTGAGATATGTCTTTTCATTCAGCTTTTGCAATGCACGTGCTGGTTTCTTGAGTGTTTAGCTGAAATGTGATCAGGTCGGTAAGGGTTCAGAGGTTACTAAGAAGGGCTGCTGCTAAATTGGTTCTCATCTCACAATTAATATACAATCTGTTTGAGCGCATCTTGTTTTCATGTAACGAACGAAATGTATAATGGCCACTGGTTTTATACGTGTGTGTTTGAAGCGAAAACATGCGACACCGGCAATACAGATCGCTCCAGCATGCCTTCAGGCACCCAAAAAAGATCTGCCACTGAAGTACTGCGAATCTCTGAAAACAAATCAAAGTTGTACATCAATATTGAGAAATGCGCGGTTTCTAGGTTGTTCCAAATACCCCTTGGGAGGTTTGTGAATCTCCCTTGGAGGCACTTCTTCTCGCAGCTCAATATCTCTTGCTGCTTCATTATGATCCTCTCTGCAAGAATGCCATCTTGGCCTGTCAACACTTTGTTGGTATACTCACTCAACATGTCGCCCTTCTGCTCTGTGCATCTTCACCACGTCTCTATGACGCGTTCACTCGATTCTTGCATGCCTTTGCTGTTTGTTCCTTCTACTACCCACCCCCTATCTGAACTGTTTCTACCCCACCCTCAATGTGAGGATCGTCGGAAATTGTTTGTCCCCCAGTTCCGCCCTTTTACAGAGAGGATCCAACCATGGCTGGCGGCAGGTGAGAAGAGCGGGAGGGGAGGGGCAGAGGCAGAGACAGAGACAGAGACAGAGACAGAGACAGAGAGGGAGAAGAAGACAGGGACAGGGACAGGGACAGGGACAGGGACAGGGACAGGGACAGGGACAGGGACAGGGACAGGGACAGGGACAGGAAGGAGGCATGAGGGACAAGCGGAGCGATGAGAAGGGTGTTGCTTTCTTGGTAGAAAGACACTGAGAGTCGACCTGGGGAAATCAGGTTTATCTCAGAGGCATTGATGATGAAGACGTCGGGAGTGAAAGAAATAGAGGAATGCTGTTGATTTCCGTGTTGAAGATCAGGAAATGGAAGATCTTAGAAAGAAATTTAGTCAGGTAGGACGTTTACGGTGTAGCTTATGGTCCTGCACTGAGCAACTGATGTCCTTTGAGAAGTCCTCTACCTTAGCTAGACGTCTGTGCGACCTGATGGCCTGACAGCAACGAGAACCTGAACGGACACGGACACGAGCACGGGCACGAGCACGGTCATGGACATGAACATGGGCACACGCACGAGCACCTGGACAACCCTGGTAAGTTGAGGAGACGCTGGAGCAGAAGCTTGTCAAGGAGGCGATGGCAACTCAGTCTCGTCGCAGGGACCTTCGAGGATCGGGAGAAGCCGATCAAACCCAACCAAGGGCGAGACTGGGAGGAAAGAGCCTTCACTGTTGGTATCGGTGGGCCAGTTGGCAGGTAGTGGGAGCGAGGAGGAGGAGACGAGTGCTCTGACGTGTTGGATAGCGGGAAGACGGCTCTTGTGTTGTCCCTCTGCCGCCACCTGAGGGATAAGTACAGCCTTGCTGTTGTGACCAACGACATCTTCACCAAGGAAGACTGTGAATTCTTGACGAGTGAGGGCTTGTTGAACGTGGGAGGTAGCAGGTGTGACAAGTGTGCAGGGAACGAGGCGTTGGAAGCCGAGAGAATCTCGTTTCTAGGTTTCTGCATATACCTCCTCCTCCTCCTCCTCCTCCTCCTCCTCCTCCTCCTCCTCCTCCTCCTCCTCCTCCTCCTCCTCCTCCTCCTCCTCCTCCTCCTCCTCCTCCTCCTCCTCCTCCTCCTCCTCCTCCTCCTCCTTGTCGTTCTCCTCCTCCTCCATCTGGTCATAATATCGAGTTGACGATGGATGATGTAGAGACGGGAGGCTGCCCCCATGCGGCCATCCGGGAGGATATCTCAGGAAACATGGTGAAGCTTGAGGAGCTGTCAGCAAAGTTCCATCCTGACCTTCTGTTCCTCGGTCTGTCCAAGTTTTCTATTCTCCCTTCCTCCTTCCCTTCCTCCTTCCCTACCTTCGTACTTATCCAACCCTTCTTTCATCCGCTCATTCCCCTCTCTCTTTTTCCTGCTCTTTCATCCTCCACGGATCGCTCAGCTCCTCTCCATCTCTCCCTCTCGCTCTCTCCCTCTCTTTCGTTGTCGTTCCCCCTCTCCCTTGTTTCCTTCTCGTTCCCAAGATCCTGCTTACTGACTTGCAATCAGAGTCAGGAGGAGACAACTTGGCCGCCAACTTCAGCAGGGAGCTAAGTGACTTCACCATCTACGTGAGGACCGCGAACAGGAGCATGCTTTTGCGCTAACGCTTTCACCCTGCAGGTTGTCGACGTGGCCGGAGGTGACAAGGTGCCAAGGAAGGGAGGGCCCGGAGTGACGCAGGTACTTGAGGAGGGAAGACTAGAGGTTGCTGCTGACTTGGGCAGTCCGACTTGCTCGTCATCAACAAGACAGACCTTGCAGAGGCTGTTGGTGCTGATCTCAAGGTATGACGTTACGGCAGTTGAGGTGGAAGGACGGAACAGGTCGAGGTGGAGGAAGAAGGAGGAGGAAGGCTCCTCTGCTAAAGCTGCGTAGACTAGGTAGTGCAGAGACTAGGTAAACGCAAAGGCTAGGTAGTGCGGAAGAGGAAGAGAGCGTTGCGATGGGATGGGGAAAGATTGTGAATGGAGTTCAGTGGGTCAAGTAGGAAGGGACGGCAAGAGGGAGGTGACAAGGTTGTTGACAAAAAGGGATCAGAGGGGGAAGAGAGAGAAACTTTTGTGCGCTCAACCTTGATCAGGTTATGGATCGCGATGCAAAGAAGATGCGAGGGGATGGCCCGACGGTCTTCGCGCAAGTGAAGAACATGGTGGGAGTTGCCGACATCGCGGACTACATCTTCAAAGCGAGGGAAGCAGCTGGGGTTCCTCCGTGCTCCAAGAAGCCCAAGACAGCCGACTGACGGCTGCCAGCGAGTGACAAGCTCTCGGTCAAGATTTGACGTGTATAACCCCCGGGGAAGCTTGTCAAGGATGCTCCTCGGCCATCGGACTTGATGAGCGTATCAAAGGAATTTGTTTCATCATTCTTGAAAAAAGAAGGTGGGAGAGAGAAATGGCTGTCAGAAAGCAAAGGAAACATCACTGCCCGTCTGCTAGTCCCCACTGGAAGTTTTCAAGTCGTTGACCGTGTAGCCGAACATGTGCGTGAACAGATCCTTGACCGTCTCCTTCCTCTCTGCTTGCAGACCTTCCCGCAGCAGCGTCTGCATGCGAGGACGATGCATGTCAGGGCCCTTGGGCACGATGCTCTCCGGGCCAGCGATGATGACGTTGCACGCCTGCTCAACCATCTCATGCTGAGAGACAGAGCATGAGGAGTGCGTACCTGCACAAAGTGCTTCCTGCCCTCAGTCTTGAGAGTCGGCTCTTCTTTGAGAAAGTGATGTCTGCAAGGCAAGCGTCATGCACGAGGTCAAGGAGGAGGGGGAAGGTAGGAGCAGCAGCCGAGGAGTAGACGGAGCAGGGCAGGGGAAACAGGAGCAGGACAGCAGGAGCAGTGTTCACTTGGTCCGCTCCGTCAGAGCTTCTCGTCGAGGAGACGATCGAGCTTCGGATCTCTCCGCCTGCCCGCAAATAACATCAGGGAATCATTTGAGGAGGCAGCCGAGGACCTTTTTGGCAATGAACTGCAACCTCTCCTTGTCCTGACCCCTCACTTCCCGTCGGTAGAAGCCCTAGCGACATGTCATGCTCCACCTTGTTGAACACTCAACCCAGCTCCTCCTGCCGTCCTCCCACCCTTCTTCCTCGTCCTCGTCCTCTCTCTCTCCCTCTTTCTCCGTCTCCCTCTCTCCGTTTCTCTCTCCCTCCCTCCCTCCCTCCCCCCCCACCCGCCTTTGTCTTTTCTTTCCACTCCGCAACCTTTACTTTTCTCTTCCTCCCTGCCCCTCTCTCCCTTTCAAACTCTCACCCAACCTACCTTGTGAAAGAGCGTATACTTCGTGCCGGCTTCCTATTTGCAGAGAAGTCAGCGAGTAGTCAAGGAGGTACAAGTAGAGCAGGGAAGGACTGACAGGCTGCCAGTAGGAGGGAGCAGCTTCTAGCCCGTAGAGGTACTCGTATTCATTCTTGTACTCGCTCTTGTCCTCGAACATTCGACGCAGAGTTCTGAGATGGACGACAGGATCATTCAGTAAGAGTTCAGCTGTGATCTAGGCAGGAAAGGAGGGAGCGAGTGAAAAGGAAGAGGAAAGCAGGAAGGAGGCAAGACAGGGAGGGAGAGAGTAAGGGAGGTGGAGTGGACGAGCTAGGGTGAGGATAGCATCGAACCTTCTGTTGGGCTCCGGCACATCTTCGAGCGCGTTGGATCTTGCGGTGCTCAACATGTCAAACGTCCTTTGAGAGCGATCTGACAACCTGGCAAGAAAATTTCAGCAGGGAGGAGGAGGAGGAGGAGGAGGAGGAGGAGGAGGAGGAGAAGGAAAATTTCAGCAGGGAGGAGGAGGAGGAGGAGGATCAATGATCCTACTTTGATGAGTTGGTCAACGGCCGCTCTTCCCTGTCAAACCCCATCTGCGACCTCGCGCTTTGCTGCAAGGGGGTGCCTGACTTGTTGCTTCCCTCTCTGTTGCTCCCCTCCCTCCTTTCCTGTGCTTCCTGGGGCTCGTCTCCCCTCGTCATGTCCACTGACAGCGGCGTCGTCGGCTGCCGTCGCTGCGACGACGAGGGGCTGGGGCGATCCACATGGTTGGAAGCGGCGGACCGAAAGGAGCCCTGCGATCTTGCTTCTTCGCCATTGTTGGACCGCACTGAACGAGCTGGGGAGGGGAGCTGGAGGGAAAGATCAACGTGCCGCCTGTCTTGCAAGGAAGAACCATTCTCTGCTCCTTTCCTTCCTGATCCAGCCGATCGTGCGCCTGAAGCGTTTGACCGTGCTGTTGATCCTGCCACAGACGCTGCATCGCCTGCTGGCTCCTGGTGAGCCTGCTGCATACTTCCTGATGAGCGTCTTGTGTAAAGCTGGTCATTCCTTGCTGAGTTGTGCGGAGATGGCTGTGGATCATTGGAGTGTGAAGGAGGACGAGACGGGGGGAGGGAGGGAGGGCGAGGAGGAGGGTTCGATGGAGCTCTATGGTTCGAGTTTGACGATGGAGGCGGCGGGACTTGGAATGATCGGGAGGACAGCTGTCCCTCCCGTGACGGGGCGGGGGAGGCTTGTGAAGGTGCCTTAGAGCCCTGCGAAGGGGTCCTGGAGGGGATCGAGGGAGGTCTGGAGCCAGCGTTGGACAGAGGCTTGGAAGAGCTGAAGGCGGCAGGGGGGGGAGTGGAGCCAGGCTGGAGAGGCATCTTGGAGAGGGAGGGGGAGGGAGACGCTGCGATCCCTGCCGCCCATGGCGCTTCTTCCCTCCCCGACGTCGTAGCGCTCAACTGCATGGACCGTTGGGATAACGGTATGTAACGGTATAGGTAAAGTCGGAGTCCGCCGGTGACCGTTCGGACCCGGTGGTCACTGGGCCGCGCCGCCGAAGGGGGCCCGGGCCCGCCCGGCCCGCCGGGTCACTGGGCCGATCCGGCCGCGGCCGGGCAGCCGCCGGTTCCTAAACTTGCTTGGCAGGCTGAGTCCGGACCCCGCCGCCCGGCCGAACTCACGGTTATGACTCAGTGTTGCCGGTTACTCAAGTTATCACCGATATGTAAGATGTCACCGGGTTAGTGGGGATGTGGTCACCGTTCCACGTGTTACAAGTGAAGTAATATTTCACTCAAATCGTTGATGTGGATGGGTGGGGGTACTATTTGAAGGGGTGGTAATAAGTGAGGGGTGGGTTTAGAATTGAGGGGGTCATTGGGGTGTTGAATGCCAGGTATAAAAAGGTTCTCATGGGGGTGTTTGGAGGATGCACCGGGTCAAAGAAGAGAAGTTTGAAGGGTGGGGTGGGGTCATTTGAAGGTGGGAGGTTCCTGAGGGGATAGACAGATCCAGGGTGGGGTGGAGATTTGTGGGCTCAGAGGGGTAGGGTAGTAGAGAGGGAAGCTTCGATGGCGGGGGCGGGGAGGGCGCTGGCTATGGTCAGCATGCTGGCGCTGGTGGCCATGAGTGTTCAGAGTGAGGAGATGAGAGGCGTTCAGCCCGAGGATGCTCACCTGTACGCGAAGAAGGACATGTTCACCTGCAAGGACGGCAGCTCTACCATCAGCATCGACAAGGTCAACGATGAATTCTGCGACTGTAACGACGGCAGTGACGAGCCGGGGACAGCGGCATGCTCCAACGGTGTGTTCTGGTGCGCGAACAAGGGATGGAAAGCAAAGCTCCTCTTCTCCTCCCGTGTGAATGACGGCGTTTGCGATTGCTGCGATGGATCTGATGAGCATGCCGGTATCGTGACCTGCGTCAACAGATGCCAGGAAGAAGGGGCAGAGCAGAGGAACATCCTTATGAGGAGCATCCAGCTGCATGAACAGGGCGTTGCCAAGCGCTCTGACTACGTAGCAAGAGCCCATGCCTTCAGGGAAGCAGTGTTCAAGCGACGAGATGAGCTGGGGAATCTGATCCAAGAGGTGTCGCAGAAGCTCGACGGTTTCCAAGCTCAGAGGGACGAGCTGAATAAGAAGATCTCGGAAGAGACTGAAGAACGCCTCCGACAAGAGCAAGAAGCGAGAGAGGCCGAGGAGAAGAAGCGAGCGGAGGAAGAGCAGAAGCGAGCGGAGGAGCTGGCGGCACAGCAGGCGGAGATGGCGAACCAAGTTCCCAGCGGCGAGGAGATCAAGTCATCCGGCGACGAGTTCGGATCACCGGAAGTGCCTCCAATGGCACCGCAGGCTGTGGACGACTTGGGGGAGACGCAACAGGTCGTTCAAGAAGGTAAAGGATACGAAGATCCTTATTACAGTGGCAAACACGTTGACAAACGGCCGTCCCCTACAGGCAATCCCGACCCAAACACACATGTGGACGATTGGTATTCGTATGACAATGATCACACAGATGAAGAGAAACCTTCAGAGGACGAGTACAGACCCCCTGAGGAAGAATACAAACCTCCTGAGGAGAGGCCCAAGACAGAGGCTGAGGTGACTGCGCGATTTTGAGAGTTGTCAGTGCCCTGTCGACGTTGAATGACATGAGCGTGTCAGCTGGCACTCGAAAAGCTCGAGGAAGAGATGAGACCCTTGGAAGAGGAGAAGCGAAAACACGAGGCAAGGAGCCCTGATCCTACCCTCCTCCCTCCCTCTCTCCCTCTCTCCCTCCCTCCCTCCCTCCCTCCCTCCCTCCCTCCCTCCCTCCCCCCTCCCTCCCCTCCCCCCTCTCCCTTGCATTCCTCCTGCTGCCGACCTGCCGATTTGTCTACTGACTCGCTCCGTTACAGTCCGAGTCAGAGCTTGCAGTCAAAGTCCTGGAGTATGACTTCGGACCAGTACGAGAAGGCTCATGACTCCCATCGCACCTCCTGACACTCAAACTGCAGGATATGGCTTTCATGGCCCTCTACGACAAGTGCTACGAGCAGCAGGTAAGAGTGGTCGTGTTACAACGCTCTCCGTAATTCGTTGCAAAGGTCCAACAGTACACGTATGAGATCTGCATGTTCCGCCATGCGAAGCAGAAGGATGGTGGATCCGAACAGGTCCGCGCTCCATTTCCCCCTCCTCCCTCCCTCCTCCCTCCCTTTGCCTTGCCCTCCCTCTGTCTCTCTCCCTCCTTCCCTCTCCTTCTCCCTTCCTCCCTCCCCTCCTCTCTCCCTCTCTCCCTCTGTCTCCCCCCCACTCCCCCCACTTCTGCCCCAACATACCCTCCTCCATCTCACGGCCTTGTTGAAGAATCTTGGAACGTGGAGCCATTGGACGCACGAGAACGGGCACAACTCGTTAGTTTCTCTTCGATTCCCCAGCTGCATGTGACTTAGGCGCGGCAGGGTCATGCACTACACCAACGGCGGAGGATGCTGGAACGGTCCAGCTCGATCAATGAAGGAACAGCAGGCTCTCCCACCTGCCAGGAGCGCTGACATCTTGGAGCAGGTGTCGATGATCTGTGGGGAAGACGAGTTCCTCGTTTCGGTCCAGGTGAACCTTTCGCTCCTCCTCCTGCCTTTTCCTGACCTCCTGACAGGAGCCCAGCCGATGCGTCTACGAGATGGAATTCATGACCCCGCTGGCCTGCAGGTGGGAAAGGCTTGAACTTGCTCCTCCTCTTACGTCTCTCCCAGCGCCCATCGCGCCCAGGAGGCCAGGGAGCAGCTCCTGGCCATTTCACATTGAGCCAGAGTGGAGAACTTGTACCTTTTTGTTCCTCCGCCCCTGTCAATACACGACAACATTTCTCACTACTCCATCACTCACAACGCCGCGTTCAGCTCGCTTTCTTGTCACAGAATTTCATTCAGGGGTAAGTACACTAGAATAATGGTACAAGGGAAACAATCCTCGCCAGCGAGGACCACAATCTCTTGTGAGCAACGGCTATCATCATGCAGCTACAAGCTGGCTCAAGATGTCCTTCACGTACTTGATCCTCTTAGACATCTCCTGGTAGACCACCACGTCGGAAATGTTGTAAGTGTTGCGGAACTTGTTCTTCCCCTTGTACGTCACCCACGGCCTGTCAGCCCACAGCACCACCTCCGTGTCGTCGAAGAAGTTGACTTGGAAGTTGTTGTTGCTCAGCCGGAAGATGATCGAGTGCCTCGTCCGCATCCATTTGCGCACGTACACCCCGTCCCTTGCCAGCTCCTCCTCCCTGCTCTCGACTGGGTGGTGGAGAGGAGAGTCGCGGTTGGGGTGGGTCTCATCCAGGTAGTTCTTAAAGTGCTCCATCAGCGTCACCTTCTTGGTGAGATCGGCCGGGTGTCCCTTGAGCTTTGTGGGCTTGCGGATGTCATACTTGACCCCATCCTCCCTGCGCATTCTCTCGATGTAGTCAACGTTCTCTCCGTCAAGGGCGAGAAGCATCTTCGTAGCATCGTTGAAGAAGACACCACTGAAAGAACAGGAACGTCAGATGTTGAGAGGAAGGGAGCAGGAAGCAGGGGGAGGGCGTGCAAGAGACGAAGGGAAGGGCGTCAAAGGCAAGAGTGAGTGAGAGTAGAATCAAGTACCTGCACCCATTGGAGAGCTTGTAACCAAGGCCATACTTCTTGGAGTAGTCAACCCAACGGCTGACCCACACGCTCGGCAGCGGCATGTCGGTTGAGCTTGGGACGTCAAGCTTGCCTGCGGCCTGCTGGACATTGAACGCCTGCTTGATGTTGTTGTGCATGATAGAGAGAGCCGCCTGGTCCTCGAGATCCGGAGGAGTGGAAGAGAAGTTGGGCGGGGGGATCTTGGAAGAGAGAGCATCTGCTGATCGAGTCAAGACCAAGTCCCGAGAGAGGAGCCAAGGGTCTGCAGGAGGAGCAGGGGAGGGAGGAGCATACCAATAGCCGTGCTAGACTTCTGGGGGGAAGTACGCCGGATGTCTAGAGTCTCAATCTGCTTCGTGAGCCTCTTGGTCGGGGTCAAGTCCCCACCGGAGAGAGTAGCGCTCGAGGGCCTCGCGTCGAACGTGGAAGTCAGCCCTGCCAAACCCCGTCAGCTGCCCTCCAGCTGCTCTGCCCAGCCCCAGCCCAGCCTCGCCTTTCCTTTCCCGTACCTGCTCGTGACTTGGTGTCCATGGCGGTAGAAGCTCGAGGAATGACGGCAGACCCAAGGGAGGGGATGGGCGCGGGTCGGATGGGCTCCTGGCTCGATAGGTGGCGATCGTGTGTGTAATGGTTTTCAGAGCCGTTCCTGAAGGAGAAACGATTGCATCAGCCGACGGGAGGGGGAGGGCTCGCAGAGGTCAAACCTGCTCGTGTAGTCGGAGAACTTTTTGTGGGGAGCAGTGGAATCAGTGTTGTCAGCTGAGATGGGGTGGAGTGGCAGCCTGCAGGAGGGAGGGGAGGGTCAGCAAAGGAAGAGTTAGACACGAAGTGGCAGGTCCGAACCTGTGGGACTCGGACGAAAGCATGCTAATGGCGGAAGTCAGTGACGGGGGAATGAAGGACCCTGTGACAACGTGAACAAAGACGCAGGAGGCGCCTCTCCTCCCTCCTACCAATGGACTGGACACCTGACTGCAGGCTCGGAGCCTTGGAGAGCAATCCAAGACCTTCTCCCTGGAACCACTCATCGCACAAGATCTGTCGAGAAAGTGAGGATACAGAATTTTCCTTGCATTGCAGCACTTACGTCATCGATAGACGGTCTCAGCTCCGGCTCCTGTACGACAAGTGAGCAAGAGAAAGACCATGGAGGCAGGAGGGAGGGGAAGCCAAAAGAGAGGTTAGCTCACAGATTTCAAGATCCTGCGGACGAGGCTCTTGGCAGCGTCGGAGACAAGGAGCCGGTCCTGGAAAGTCGGAAGTCATGTCAGGAGTTCGCAGAGGAGGGAGGAGGAGGGTGCGAACCGGGAACGTGTAGGTGTTGGCCTTGATCAACTTATAGGTGGACTTGACATCCGCAGTCTCGAAAGGAGGTTTGCCAACCAGGCAGGTATACATGACTACTCCGATGCTCCAAGTGTCAACTTCATAACTGTGCCCATTCTTGCCATCCAGAACCTTTTGAGGGGCAGAGGAGTGAGTGGAGAAGAGGATGGAAAGCACTAAATTTTTGCAAGAGAGCGAGTGATTTACCTCGGGAGCAATGTAGTTCGGTGTTCCACACAGTGTTCTCTTTCGCTCCCCATCAAACTGAAGCTTGCACTGAAAATCGTTTCAAAAACACGCCCAACGGCAATTTGATGTACAACTCACCGCAAGTCCGAAATCTCCTATCTTGACATCATCGCCATGGTTGAGGAACAGGTTTCCCAACTTGAGGTCTCGGTGTATTACTTTGTTCTGGTGAAGATAACGTACTCCATCGAGCTGTTGGGCAAGTCTGGTATTAGACAGCAAGTATGGAATGGAAGAACGCATCACCATCTGAAGCATATAACGACGGGTCTCCGATTCGGTGAGGCGCTTCTTACGCTTCACGAACTCGAGCATGGTTTGATTTGTGCAGAGCTCCATGATGATGTACACATTCTCCTTATCCTCAAACACGTCTTCGAATCTCACCACATGCTTGTGGCTCAACGACTTGTGAATCTTAATCTCCGTTTGCAACTGAAGCAAAGGCAATGTCAGCCAGAAATGTCCCCGATGCCCTTCAACACATGTGGTAGCAAGACAATTCAAAACAAGCTAGCACCATTGAGGGATAGTTTTCGAATTCAGAAAATGAAACGTACCTTCACTTTATGCCTGTGCTTTGTTAAGGAAGACTTCTGCACGACCTTGCAAGCCCAGTCCTGGTTTGTTTCAACGTCTGTGATCTTAAAACACTTTGCAAAGCCTCCTTTCCCCAGCAACCCTCCCTTGAGATATCGCTTGGTTACCAAGACACCTCGCGAGTCCTTCTTCGTGTGTTCTATGTAGGGTGAGTCATTGGAGTTCAGTGAGTTGAAGGAGGGAGCCGAGAGGGGTCTGGATGAACACTGATTCGTCATGATGTTGCGATTCGCGTTCTCTTTGCTTCCAACATGGACGATCCCCGTCGCTGGCCGCTGCATGGCGGCGGGGAAGAATGAATGAGACGGGAAGGCCTTCGCTAGACACGGGGTGGGGTCAGAGCGAGTAGGGGTAATGGGAGGTACACCCTTGAAAGGGGAAGGGTAGTCTGAAGGAAATGTCGGTACTGAAGGTATTTTTCCTATGAAAAGTAAGATGAAAAGGGGGTAGCAAAAAATCAGAGGGGGTACTTCTGAGAAGGGGTATAAATGTCCGTGTTGGGTGGGTACCGAGGGTAGTCGAAGGAAATTGAGGCGTGTTGGAAGACCAACGGTGTATTTGGGTTCGTCTGGGTGAAACTCAGATCAAAGGTGGGTGGGGGTACTATACTAACCCCCCTTCTCAAGCATAAATATTGGTACTCTGATAGGGTAGGTACAAAAATCCTCTTGATATAGGGTACTTGGAATGATAGGTCTATATAGGGTAGGGGTACCTATTTTGAATTCGCAACGACAAAGATTAGCAGAGGGGTAGTAAGTTATCGGGGTACTAAATCACAAGGGTGGGAAACGAGTAAATCGGGTTCTGAGTGAAACCAACTAGAACTACCGGGTCATTTATGAACCAAATTTGGGGTCCATGTGATGAAAGAATACAATGGGTAGGGTTCAGCTCAATGCCAAGGGGTGCTCTCCAGCAATGGTGAAACAACAGGGGTAGGGTGTACTTTGATCTGACAGAAAAAAAAGTAAAAAGAAACTTGTAAAAGCGTGAAAATATCGGGGGGGCCGGCCCGGGCACCGTCCCGGCACCGTCGGACCGTCGGCGGCCCGGCCGCGCCGCCCCGGCCCGCTGTCCGAGTGCCCGCGGCCATACCGTACCGTACCGTAGTACGGACGGTGAATGGTCCGATCGCCGGGGGACCCCGCCGGAGCCGCGGAAGGGGGGAGTCGCTCATGCTCGGACTCTGCGCCACCGGTGACTCATACGGTAGTACCGGGCCCTGTCGGACGGAGCCGCCTTCGGCGGCGGCCTGCCGACTGGACACCGGCCCGGGCGGCCCGGCCGGGCCAGGCCGCATTGCCGGGCACCGTCACGGGAACGGCGCCGCGCTGCTGACTGATCTCAGGTGCCGCGGTGCGCGGTTCAGCCCAGCCGTGGGCCGGGGTCCGACTCGGCGACTCTGATCGGACTCCCGGGCCTGATCGGGCCCGGGCCTCCGGGACCGTACTCGACGCCGGACGGTCACCGGTGCCCGGCGCCCCGGGCGTGACCGTGGCGTGACCGTGGGCCGGCGTGGGCGCGGCCCGGCGTTGCCGCAGTGCCGGCGGCACTGCGCCGCGGCGCGGCCGGGGTCGGCGTGACGGTCACTGTCACACCGGGCCGTGCGGTGCCACCGTGTCACCCCGCGCCCGGCCGGGGCCGGGCCGCCGGCGGGGCAGCGGCGGGCCAGTGACTCAGGCTGGGGACGGTGCCTAGTGAGGCTTCAGTGCCGCACCGTTCAGCCTCTATCGACTCGTACTTTATCATACTTATGATGGACTGTATGCGGCTGAAGTATACGGCCCGGTGAACTTGAAGGGTACTAGGGTGGGCTGAGGAAAATAACCGTAACGCGGCACCGTGGCACCGTCTGAGAGATCCGAGGATCGGAGCAACGCACTGACTCAGAGATCGGATAGGCTCAGGGGGGTCGGAAGGATAGGATAACCGGGTGACCGTGACCAGGGGTATTCCGCCCGCCGCCCCGCCTATGCTCACGGTCTGGTCATGCCATCTGATAGCCGCAATAGTACGGTGGTCCACACGGTGCCATGCCCTCGGAGTCCATGCGGCCATGGCAACTTGAAATCCGTCCCACCGTGAGGACGATGCGTGGATGTTGACTCCCGAACTGGGCGATGAGGTTTATGATAGATGGCGCTTTGGAGCTTTATGTTCGAAGAGACAAAAATTCGTACACTCACCCCACCACTCTAATGACAATACTGTTCAATTATTTAAGTAAAAACGTTTACAAACAATATTTAGCTAATAAAATATCAAGCCCCATGACCCCTTCGCATTGAACAACCCTCCCTGCCACAGCAGGCGGCTCTCCTGGAAAATGGTGCCGGTATACCCGGCTAAACAATGGTAATGTATATGAAGCAGAGGACCAGCGGACAGTGCTTAATGGATGATCGAAATGTGGTACATGAGAGAAGAATAATCCTTGAATTATTGTGCTTTTGTTGTGATGAGGTTTAGAGAAAACTGAAACGCTGAAATATTTCTCTCTCAGTATACTTTCGTTCTTGATTGTTCTATCCACTTTGCCCTCTTCCCTCTGGTTGATCTTTGGCGGTCTAACCCCTGACTTTTGGTGCAAAAAACTTGATATCACCATGTTATGTTTGATTTCTTGTCGATTTCATGCTGAATCTATTCTGAGTAGGAATCACATAGCCATAGTGGCAACTGCCCTGGCTATAGGATCCATCGCTGTGATATCCTGGGTGGTGGCTGGACGTGCAGACCCAGCAGCATCTGAGCTCGTCTATGTGGTGTCTGGCTCCATCAACGACTTCTCTCCCTCGCGCTTTCCCAACGGCATCCTGCATGGATGGTACCACAGTCCAGGAAACTGTTGTGATCCATGCCCCACCTGTCCGCCGTGTCATCGCCCATGCAACATGGCTGATCCCTTGGGAGTCTGGCCCAGTGCCGCGAGCCCTTCTGGGATCTATGCTGCTCCAGGGTCAGGCCTGATGATTGCAGGAGACGGTCAGCCTGATGATCCTGTGTGGGCGATACGTGCGACCCAAGCACAGAACCTGGCTTCCTTGAGTGAGCTTACCGGACTAGAAAACGACATGAAACACATCAAGGCTTCGCTCAGACACGAGGAGCGCTTGAAGGAACAGTTGGATGAGAAGATTGATAGCATCCAAGAGTCGAACCAGGAGCTGGAAGCCGCTCTGAAGAGAATTGAGGATGAATCTCCCCCGCCGGGCCCTGAAGGGCCTCCTGGATTCCCCGGACCTCGTGGCATGAGAGGATTACCCGGCATCCCTGGAAGCTTGCTTCCAGGCGCACCTGGAATCCGAGGCCCACCAGGCCCACCAGGTTGCCTACTTGGATCAGTTGGCATCTGTACTTACCTTAGTGTGAAGGCCTTCCGGGCTCCAGGGGTCCTCAGGGACCTCCAGGAGTCACCGGGTCCCCGGGTCGTCAGGGCCCTCCGGGTATGAACGGAGCAAATGGATTGCCCGGTCGCCCTGGCAGAGACAACCTGATCATGGGACCACGAGGTTTGCCTGTTGATGGAGGAATCAAGTTTGTTCACTTCAAGGTCTCAGGCGCAATGGGTGCACCGGGGGTTGAGGGGGTTAAGGGACCGCAAGGAATGCCGGGACTGAGAGGAAAGAACGGCATTCCGGGTGAGCACGAGCTCTGATCGAGGTTGTAGTCGTTGACTGCCTTATGACAGGCCTGCAAGGGCTTCCGGGCAAGGTTCGCAATTTCTCTCCCTCTTGATTCTCTATGCTCTCTCAAATCTTCACAGCGCGGGCCGGTTGGACTCCAGGGACAACCTGGAGAAAAGGTGGGACATTCTTGTCCGGGGAGTGAAGCTTAACGATATCCTCTTTAGGGACTCCCTGGTGCACCTGGACCACAAGGCTTTGTATGATTCTCTTCCACCATCGCCCTTCCCTGGCCCTCCCCTTCCATCGCCCTGACCTTTACACTCCCCCTTCGTTCCATAATATCTGGAAGGTCTCCTTTCCATCTTCATAATTCCCTGATGCAGGTTGGACTCGAGGGTCCTCCGGGGGCACCTGGTAAACAAGGATCGCAGGGCAGCGAGGGAGAGAGGTACACTATCTCGGCCATTCTTCATCGATACAGCACCGCTCCGAAGCTCTCTCCCTGTGTGCTGAGATCTCCGTTGACAGGGGTGCTCGTGGACCCCCTGGTCTGCCGGGACCTGCGGGCCCTCAGGGCGAGCCGGGCAACGAGGGGATCAGAGGGACTGCCGGGCAGCCGGTTTGTGCATTGAAACATCTCTTGAGCGTGTACATGCTGATGCTGATGTATGTCCAGGGCCCCATCTATCACGCATACTACCACGATTCAGGCTCGAAGAAGGCAACTATCAAGGCAATGCTCAAGGGGCAGGATTCTGGCCATCTAGTCAGCCGCATGAGCAGGTGCAGAGATTTTCTCTCTTCCCTATGATTGGGTTATCTTCACCTGCCAACTGACGATGAGCTCGATCAGTTTGCATGCGGTGATGGCGCACAAGCATCTCAGAGGCACCCTGGGTTCTCATAATCCAGCAACGTTGGATTCTAACAGGGCCGCAAAACTAGCGCGTGTGAAGGCAAAGAAGGTTATCCCTGCTTGTTGGTTTGTTCAATGGGCTGTTGACACATGTAGCAGAATCGAAACCTGATATTGCACAACGTAATGGAGCCGAAGGGGTCCAGAGTTATTGTTGAAAGGTCATGAGATCTCATGATGTGTAAAAATATTGATTAAACTGAACAATCGCTTCTCTATACTTGGGTTTCAAGGAGGGATCTTGCAGATTCAGTCGCAGAGGTCTGAGCTAGTGTCATGGTCACGCAGCAGTGGTCTACACACAATGGAGAATAGCTTTCAGAACAACAGTTTCAAAAGATTTCAGATATACTGTAAATCATATCACATAATGTACAAGGTCAACCTACGCATGTGTGGGATCCAAGAATTGTTTCAGCTCCTTCAGACGGGTCTCAGCGTCAATTATCACGCTTGCTGGATGTTTGACCATCAGGTAAGCAACGAGTGGCGAATGAAATCGAACCCACACAAGGACCCCAACGATGCCGATTGCAGTAGAAATCCACGAGCTTGCAATTGACATGTAGAATTTGACGTGCGCAAGGAACACCAAGGTCAAGAACGAGACAGGAATGCTGAGAGAGAAGCTGTACACCAACCTTGAATACCACTTGTCGAAGAAACCCTCCCACACCATGTCAAGCTCCGCCACCGTCATACAGGCACGACTGAAGGGCTCGAGCACTTTCTTCTCATGATGGTAGACACGATCATTCCGCAATTCATCAACGAGGTCCTCCTTTGCTGAGAGATTCATGATGGCAACATGGATCAGATTCGCCACCATCAAGATCAGCATGTGCATCGTGCAGCAGAGGACACAGAGGCAGCCCCAGCAGGCGATGATCCATTCAGCCAAAGGATACTCAGTAATCGCCGGAGGGTTTTGATTCACGTAGATGGTGAGCCACGCATACATCATGTACGATGATAGCCTAGCGAGCAGATCGACCTTGTCTGCCACCAGTCGAAACCTGTCTCGCTTCGAGGCGACTAATTTCCAGTACCTCTGGCATGCCCGATGCCGTGTTTTGCGAGCATGAAGAACCTTTTGTACCCCAAACCTCTGTAGCTCTTCGTTGAACAACTACAAGTCCATACATCAGTCATCAGCATCATTCAACAATGATTAAGTGCCATGAAACAAGAAGGAAACAGGAAACAATAGCAACATCCCAAAATGATCGGCCGAAAAAGTGGCATACCAGAAAAGAGCTGTGTACGAAGGATTACAGCACACGGTGAATTCCTCACCTCCTTCTCTGTCTCTATCTCTGTCTTCGCCAGGGCAGCATTCAGCGCTTCCACCGGCTGCATCGTCGCTACAAGCCTTGCATGTATGGATTGTTGAAACCCAGTAGAGACCTGAGATGCCGGTAGACCAGGGATGCCCAGGAGAAAGATGGGGTAGGGTGGTACGAAGTGCTGAAGTACCCCCTATTTGATCTGAGCAATGGACGGTCATGGAGAGTTTGACTCTTCGGGGCTAGGGTTGAGAGGGGTGGTATGCTCCAATGCAGATTGGCTTGGATTCTGGATAAAAATTGGACTTGGAGGATAATTTTATAAGAGCTTCAATAGTAAATGGTTCAAATGATCAAAACATTTGCTTCGGGCACGCCAACTATTTACACATGAGGTATGAGGGCACTAGTCAAGCCAAGCACTGTGGTCGACATGGCTGGGGGAAAGGGTAAAGCTGGTGGGACATGCAGCAGTCTCAGGGCAGCAGAGAGAGCATGCAGCTAAGACGAGGAGCTAGAGAAAGAGAGGAAGGCGAGGGAGGGAGAACAGGTATGACTCAATCTCGGCGCACCAGCATACAATCGCCATGTGCGATTGATGACGAGGGAAATTCAAAACGGAGGATACCAGCATGGATTTCGGAGACCAGCCATGTTTCTCGAAGGTCTCAGAGATGCAAGGCATGTCGGCCTGGAAACTGTACACGTTCCTCTGTTGATAATGCTGTATTCTATACTCGGTTTGAGCCACAGCGATGGTCTTTCTTTCTAGGGATTTTTACTTTCTTGGTTCTGAATGGCGCGGCACAACCAACATTGGGGGACGGCCTGAACTGTGCGGGTGGAGGGGCGTCGAATGCTTGGAGATTACCTTTCCCTCAGTACTCAGGTGTCCTGGGAGGTACCACGGTCACAGTCGAAGGGTGCGGGTTCGTAGTCGGGTCTGTCTATGTTGTAGATTTCTCAAAACCCTACAGCGAATATGGCTCCGGTCATAATTTCTCAATCGCCAATGTCACGGAAAGCCACAAGCTGTATGTTGTCAGCCCCGCAACGTCTTCTGGAGAGGGAGCAGTATTGATTACCATCACAAGGCAAGGTGGTGGCGCACTTCCGATGGATGCCACTTCACAGTCTTTCCAATACATGTCTATTGTAAATAGGATAACAGGCTCCGTCCCTAAGATGATATATCCGCCGTCAGACTATGAGGGCTCGAAAACGACACAGGAGGAAGTCGTTGAATGCCAGAATGAGACAGGCTTGGTTCAGTGCGTTTCTCCCGTGGGGGGAGGGGCTACTCTTGCAGTCCGTGGGGCCGGATTCCTGCGGTCTTACGGCGACCAGAAGTTTTACAAGTTGAAGTTTTGGGACCAGAGCAATCAGACTTACATCTATTCAAATCCGTGTCTCTTCGTTGACTCTACGTACCTGTCATGCCCGATCCCGCGATGGGATTGGGCACCAGCTGCTGTGAGTTTGAAACTTTGGAGCAAGGACGGAGCAAGTATGCACGAGTCGTCCTTTCAGCTTTTCTTCACCTCTGAGATCTCCCACGTGTCGCCATTGACCTTCAATGATAAGAGTATCCTTGAAATCTTTGGTGCTGGCTTCTCTGCTGAAAATAGCTATTATTGCTCCCTTTGGCGGTCGAATTCCACGGGTTACTCATGGCTCCCAGAAGAAAGACTGTATATCAAAGCCATGATCAAGAACAGTACTTACGCTACATGTAATGTCTCTCAAGTTTCGATGATGAGCGGTTGGATGCCAACCGTCAGTCTGTATAGCTTTCTCAATCACTCGCTCACTCGGGATACTTTCTTCTCTGAGTCTCACAAGAGAATCGCCGGATGGGGAGCACTTTACCCGAACAAAGATCCCATCAGCATTGGCATGATAGTATTGCGAACCAACATGACTGATAGTCCGATCAAGCGTGATTCGCTTCGGATTGACAACGAGCAGTACTTTCCCTTGTGGTCCAGCTACAACCGGACGATTCCTTCGATCACGCATGAGTTCAGTCGTGGTTCTTGGTATTCCGTGAATATAACTCAAGCTCCGGCATTTGGTGGAACTCCGATCGAGCTGTACACCAGGGGAGTCAATCCTGGTCTTGTGGGCGAGTACAACCTGTCGTTGACTACGTCAGTCAATCAGACCTTGCGTCAAATCCTGCCTATGGCATGGAATGGGGATACAAGTTTGCCAGGATCGATGTTTGAAGTCTTTGCCAAGAGAAATTCTACTCTGGTGGCACTGAGACTAGAAAGAGTCGAAAGAGTTGATGACGGCATCTATGTTTCAATTGCACGAGGAAATTTCCTGGGAACAGGAAAGGAGCAATCGTTGGACAATTTTGTCTGGGATTCAAGGACATGCGTATACGAAGACCCCACAATGTGTCGGTTCTCTGAGCCTTATTCTTTTACTGCTGGCGGGACGTACACCATCTTGGTAGTTGACTCGAAGGGGATCAAGTATTTCCTGCAGGAAGACGTGCAAGCACCGGGGTCGACTTGCTGCGCGTCATACGCGCAGAACAAGATGGATTGTTGCTCCAACGGATGCGGAGCTTCCAGATGTGAGAACGCATCTGTCTTCTCTGATGGCTTCCTTGCCGTCAGACCTGGTGTGGTCTTGTCCATCGGCTCCTTCACCACGAATAGTCCTCAGGTGGTTCAAGTGTGGGGAGATAAGTCCTCTCCAAGATTCTTTGCCGGCACTTTGGTGTACGACCACGAGGAGTATGGTGACGCCTATCGTTGCAAATTCTCCTTGACCTCCAAGGATGGGAGGTACTTGCAGAGTGTCAGTGGGTTTTCCAAACCATCCTTCGTCTCCCCTGATCTCTTGAGCGTCTCGCCGAAGGTGGTGTGCAGCATTCCCAGCTGGAACGACAGCGCAAGTTACCCCGTCTGCGATGGGCGAAGTGAGAACAACGCCTGGTGCACGATGCAAAGGATCCACTCCAACTGCGCTGGGACGTGCAAGGGAGGGACTTACTACCAGCGAACAGGCACTTGCAATGGCTACTGCACCTGTGGGTACAGGGGAAACATCAGTTATCCGATATGCAACGGTGGCCGGGGAACATGCTTCTGCGAAGCGCCGAATACCGGTCATGCTTGTTTTGAGCACAGTGATTGTACAGGGGGCGGCACGTGCGAGAGTGTGGGAAGTTGCCAGGTACAGATGACGCTTTCGCTTGAGAACGAGCATCTGGAGACGATCCCTTATGTTCCTGCTGACAAGGAAGAGTCGTTTCGCTTTCGGATCTATCCGACTTGGTATGAAAAGAATGTCACGGAGGTGCTTGCCGACGGCAGCGCCTGGTTCGAGGTGGAAGGATACGGTTTCGATCAAACTTCGGAGCTCTTCTCGTGCAAGCTCACCCGGATAGCTGAATCATCGGTCAACCTCTCTCTCAGTGCATCTGCTCCCTCACCGAACAGGCTCATCTGCCACATGTCTCCTCTCCTTGTCGAATCTACCAGGTCTGGCAACTACACGTTGTCAGAGCAGCTTGTCCTGCAAGTTTTGTGGAACAACGAGATTGTTCCCTTCGTCAACCCGGAGTGTGGGATTCTCCTGCCCTCTGAGTTCACTTCGTGTACATCTCCATCTCTCATCGTGTCCGAAGTCTGGAATTCTTTCTCCTTGCCTCTCAACAAACCTTTTTTTCCGACTAACATCTCCATCTTTGGGTATGGGTTCTCGCCCTACCAAGCGCAGTACGCCTGCAAGTTCACATCTGCAACTTGGAATGAAACCACGACGGCGTTCGTCCCAAGTTTCAATGAGATCCTTTGCCAGCTCCCCGCAGGGCTGGACTGCAACATCCTGGTGGACGTGACTGTCCTCCGTGACTTGGTTGCAATCAACTTTCATGGGGACGAGAGAAGTTTCTGTCTTCAGAGCTCATGGCACAACCTCAACTCGAGCCAAGGCGAAGCGTTTGGGGAGGAGCACGTCATGTTGATCTTGAATGGAATCGCAGCAGATTGCAACACGAGCTATGAATGTGTCTTCGACATCTACGGTCAGGACACCAAGGTGACGTCATCGTCGGAGTCTTACTCACACTGTAACAACGGGGCGTGTGAGGTTTATTGCAGAACTCCAAACCTTTACAACCAAAGCTTGATTGGGACCTTTACCCCGACTGACTTCAGGCAAGGGGTTGTCACGCGTGTGAAAGTCCACCAGACATCTCAGGGCTGTGAAGGTCAGAGCTTGTGCAGCTTCAACGCGAGTCAAGACATCAGCTTCATCGGGCCTGCTGGTCAAGACTTGTACTACTTCTTCACAACATGGATCGAGGCGACTTCTCATGCGAGTGCGGCAGGCGGAAGCTTGCTCACGGTCACAGGGTTCGGTTTCATGCCGCAAGAGGCATATAGGTGCCAGTTCTTGGGGCAGGCAGGGAAGCAGTGGTCACCCGTTGCCCAAGTCTCTGCTGACAGTCTGCTGTGCGAAGTCCCAGCATGGGGAGTGGAGTATCACGCGGAGCGTGTGAACCTCAGCGTGTACTGGGTCAACCAATCTTGCTCGGACTCTGCCAGCCAGTCGAGTGCCTGCACGTACGCCATCAAACGTCGAGGCATGGTTTATGGGTCTTATCAAGACTTTCAATTCCTCCCTCATTGGCTCTCTGTCAGCCCCCAGATCGTCCCATGGAATGAATCATACACTGTTTCCATCGTTGGACGAGGCTTCTCTGCAGAGCAGGAGATCCAGTGTGTGTTTGACAACACAAACCTGCCTCCGTCTCCCTCCACCTTCGTGAACGCTTCTCTCATCCTCTGTCAAACGCCCAATCTCCCTCCAGCTTCTGTCAACCTCTACAACCTCCGCCTCCTATCCAACGCCACAGACATCCTTGGAATCCCTTCAGCACCTATCAATTTCATCCAATTCGCTGTCAAAGACTCAATCGATTTCTTGTCTGGCTACTTCATCCTTGCCATCCCTAAGTATCAAGGCCTTGACGTCACCTTTGAAGGAGCCTTTCGCAGCGTCCAGTCAAAAGTTGCTCTCAGCCTCGTCGAATCTTGCGATGGTTGGTTTGCCTGGGAGGCTGACCTGACCACTTCGGTGGTTGCCTACGTCATGAATGACTTTGCTGGGCCCGACCAGCTCGTCTACGTCTGCTACTCTACCAGCTCGTCGTACGTGCTCCAAAAAAAGGTCAAAGTGCTCTCGCAGCCGCCAGCCACCAACTCCTCCATCACCAGCATCGTCCCTTCAAGGTTCGGTACGTCCAACGCCACCATCATGCTGTACGGAGCGCGCTACTCAAGTTTGACCTTTGTCGCCTTCACGAACACGTCCTCCTGCAGCTTTCAAAGCTACACCCTCGTGATGCCGTTGGATACGGAGCAGGAAGTGCCTGCCGTGCGGGTCGAGCTCCCTCAGGGGATGTACCACGTCTGCTACAGCACTAACGGCTCTGACGCCTCTTCCATGTGGATCCTCCAGTCTGTTCAGATCGACGTGGTAGGCAACTCACAGATTCTGACCGCAGTCTTCCCTTCCAAGGTCCCGGCCCGATATGCGATCAATCTCACCTTGCCCAACAATATCTTTCCTCCCTTGCCAGGAGATTACTTCCTCACGATGACCTTGCAAGGTGGCAGTCAGACTAACGCTTCCTTCCCGATTTACGGGAACCGAGTCGAGATGGTCTTGGACGCTGTCGGTCTCTATGACATCTTGATCCAGACAAACGGAGGGGACAGCGCGAAGTTGCTGCAGCAGAACGTCCTCCTTGAGATCTTCTCTCCCGCAAGCAACAGCAGCATCTTCACTATCAGCGAGCGGATCATCATCTCAAGTCAGATTGCCCTCTTGAACTTCTCAGGCTACTTTCCTTCAGTCTTCAGCGTTTTGGCGATCTCTACCTCGGACTGCGAGCCTGGCTCCCTCGCTTTCTCGCGCAGCGGCAACTCGACCGCGCTCTTCGAAGTTTTTATCCCTCCTGAAATCTCTCCGGGTGTTTTGTCAGTGTGTTACAGCACCAGCAGCGGTCAGTCGTTTGAGAAGCAGCCAGTCACTCTCACGGTGATCGCACAGGCCTCGTCGGCTAGCGTGCAGTCAGTGACCCCGGGAAGGATCCCGTCGCTGATCTCCTTCCCCCTCCACATCGAGCCAAGGAACCTGTTCTCCTCCTACTCTGGCCTCTTGTTCCTGCACCAGAGCTGCAGCATGAACATCTCGTGCCCTTCCAGGATCTTTCTCAACTTCTTTACCAACAACCTTTACGTCAACCTCACGATGCCTGGCCTTTGGTATCTCTTCTACTCTACAGACTCGCCTGGCGGTTCTTTCATAAGGCAGAGCTCAATCGTCATAGAGGCAATCTACCAGGCCAGCCATCACTCGATTCTATCCATCTCTCCGCACAGGATCTCACAGGAACTCAGTCCCACCTTCACCCTCCTGCCCTTGCTAACCGGGGCTACCCTGCATGCAGACAACTACACATACCTTGGCTTCTCTACCGACGTCAATTGCCACGACCCGGAGGTGAAAGTCCAGTTTGACACCCCCACTGTCACATTCTCTATCGCCAGTGTCGGCAACTATACCGTCTGCTACTCTACTCTCGGCACCGATCCAGGGTCGTTCCTTTCCCTGCAAGACGTCTACCTCTACGTGTTCCCACAAGCGAATGAAAGCACTCTGACACAAGTTTTCCCTGACCGTATCACGATCAGCAACGTGGTGGCCATGACGTTTACTGGGGCGATCTTCTCTCCTTTCACTCGTGTTGCTTTCGCAGAGGCAAACACCAACTGCTCTCAAGCATCGAATGCTGAGTTCCTTCTCCAAGGGTCTGACGGCGCCGTTCCTTACTCCGACGCCACTTTCGAGCCTTTCACAACACCTGGGCTGTACGGAATCTGCTACTCAGTCTCTTACTTCGATCAGAGCTCTCAGTCGTTCCTTCAGAACCAGGTCAGCCTCAAGGTCATCGATGCCTTTCGACCCGGTGACGTCAGCAACGTGCAAGTTTGCCATTGCCACCCTTCCGCTGAGCAGAGCGCATGCCAGCGCGGCGAGGCAAGCTCTATCTGCATCCAAGGTGAAGAGGACCCGCTAGACGGGAGCTACCGCCTGAGGCTGCCCGCGGACGTGCACTACTACTTCAAGTTCGTAGGAGTCGACTTCTCCTACAACTCTCGCGTCGCTTTCTCGACTCACATTCACCCATGGCTGGGAAGGCCCGACTGCGCTGATGGGAGGACCTTCACCCAGGTCCTGGACCAAGGGCAGGGAAATCAGTCCTTTGCGATCAATTCCTCCCTCCCCAGCGTCGGAGAGTACTTCACTTGTGTCAGCACGCAGAACGGAGAGGATGGGACCTGGCTTCCTGGGCCTCAGGCTCTGCCGTCCAGTCGATATTACGTGTTTCTTGACACGTTTGACAAGGCCAACTCGGCGTCCCTCACCGCCTGCCAGCCCTCCAGCTGGGAGAACGGGCAGGTTATCAACATCTCGTGTCAAGGAGTTGTCGAGTCAAAGTTCGCCGTCCTCAAGCTCGCAGACCCTGAGCATTGTGGGCTTCCTGACTTCTCTGACGTCGGGCAATTCAACCAGGAAGGCTTTTCCCTGACAGTCCCTGCCTGGCCCGCTGGCGTGAACGCACAGCAGACTGAAAGGCAACTTGTCCTCTGCTACTCGTTCCTGGGTCAAGACCGCTTCTTCGAGCAGTCTGACTTCGCCTTCTACTCCTTGAGAGCTGCGGCCCCCCAGTCGATCGAAGAGATGATACTGTTGCGGTTCGGCATCAACTCGACAGAGCACGACATCCTCCTCTTCCCTCTGGGCCTCAACATGTCCGTTGAGCTCTACGGCCAGCAGTTCAACTCCAAGGGGAACGTGGCTGTCTGCAAGATCGTCATGAACGATCGATGCGACCAATGTACTGACTTGACCTCCGTCTTTGGCTCCTCCCTGGAGACCTTCCGGCAGGATTATGTCGCAATCTTTGACACAGCCAAGAACTACTCGCTCTGTTACAGCACTTACAAGGTCCACGGGGAGCATGTATGGGTGCCTCAACGCTTCAACTTGGAGGTTCTCGCCCCCACTCAGCCTGACTCTATCACCAGCGTCGAGTGCTCAGGCGACTACTGCCTGACTAACACATCCTTCAGCGCTGCAAGGCAAGTTGAGCTCTACTTTAAGCAAGCCTCCCCTTCTCCCTTCACTCGCATAGCCTTCACTCGGAGCGACTGCGTGTCTCGAGTCTCGGAGAGCCTCGTCGACTCCTCCCGGTCCATCACGACTCAGCTCATGTATCCCGGGCAGTACCGCCTCTGTTACACGACCTCCTACACTCCTGAAGACTTTGACGGCTGGGCACTGCAGGAGAATTTGACCTTGACTGTGTGGCCGATCTGGGACGAGATTTTAACGCCCGCTCAGCCCATCTTCAGCTATCAAGGAGGTACGATCTCCGTCTTTGGGACTGGATTCAGCAATATGGACAGCTACACGTGCGGGATCCTCTACGGGTCACAAGAGTCAAGCTCCCTCGCCACCGTCGTCTCCTACTCCACGTTGACTTGCCCTGTCCCAACGTGGACTGAAGCAGCAGCTAATACAACCCTTGTCGTCTACTGGAACTCGTTGCCTATCCAGAGCAGCGCGACCGAAATCGTCAAGATCTTCTTGATCCCTCGGGCCCGGGCCTCGTTCCCGGCCTACGGCGACAAGCTCGGAGGTACTGTCCTCACTATCGTAGGGAACGGCTTTGGGGGCCCAATGACGTGGACGAACAACGCGGGATGCGGCGAGTGGAGGTACAGGTGTAGGTTTCACTCCACTGGAAGTTTTGACCATACGGTGAACGCGGACTCGTCCACCTCCGAGCTAGTCACCTGCACCTCTCCAACCTGGTCAACTTCACTGTGGGGGAGCTACAGGGAGGACCTGGAGGGGACGGCAAGGGTGGATGTCCTCTCCTACTGCGTCGGGATGGAGAACATGACTTATGTTGTGGACACAGTGCAGGATCTGATCTTCGTCTTCCGCAAGATTAACAAGGCTCCTTACTTCGTGGGGCAGAACAAGATATTCCCTGAGAACACCACGGAGTTTGTCATCAAGAACTGGACGGGAGTGCTGTACAAGGGAAGGACCCAGGACAACTCCTTCGCAGTGGATGAAATTGACCAGAGGCTGACGTTTGTGGTGACTGTGCTTGCCCCAATCTTCTTCAAGGTGAGCGGAGTACATTGTTTTCTTCTATTCTAGTAGTGACTTGAGTTGCAGACCGTCCCTGGGATTAGGATCAGCGACACTGGGGACCTCTCCTTCGAGCCCAACCAGCTCGTCTTCGGCCGCGCATACTTTGACGTCCAGCTCTTTGATGACGGAGGAACTGCCTGGGGAGGAAACGATCGTTCGCAGGTCAAACGGTTTTACCTCCTCTGGGGGAATGCGGACTCTCAGCCAGCCATGCAAGAGCAGGACGTGGTCGAGGTTGACGAGAACGTCGTCGTCGGCCAGTCTCAGACTTTCCTCTACTTCGCTGACCCACGGGCCTCTCCCACTCTGCCCCCGACGTCACCGCCGACCTATGGCGACCAGCGGATCATTACGGATGGCTCGTTCGAGGTGATGCCGAAGAGCGAGGAAGGGAAGATCTGCTTCAGGCAGCAGCCCGTGATCGATGTCGATGGTTCCCTGTCCTTCGTGCTGAGGGAGGGGATGCACGGAAAAGTCTCAATGATGTTCCGGCTGGTCACCAGCTCGTTCAAGACCCCCTGGTCTTACTTCGACATCCTGATCAACCCGATCAACCAGCCTCCTTCATTCTCCCTGGCCCAGCAGACCGTCCAGGTGCTGGAGGACGCTCCAAGGTATCGCGTGCATCAGTTCGCAGGGAACATCAAGAAGGGCCTGTTCTCGGACTCCATGTTCGCAAACAACTCCAACTACACCAACTTCCCTTGCAGCAGTAGTGAGGACAGTCAGTTAGTCACCTTCCATGTGACCTACCTGTCCGGGAACCAGAACCTCCTGTCTGCGTTGTCCATCCTCTCAGATGGAACCCTCGACCTCCTCCTCGCTCCGAATCAGAACGGCAACTTGACTCTGAGCACAACCTTGGAGGACGACGGAGGAGTAGTGAGGCAGGGAGATCAGGCTACCTCCACTCCTCATGTCTGGCGGCTCGAGGTGGTTGCTGTGAATGACCCTCCTTCGTTCGACTTCACTTTGCAGCCTCTGGTGATCGTTGAGGAGAAGTTTTACAACAGAAGGAGCGAGCTTTCGTTCTTCAAGAACCTCCGTTGGGCTCAGTTCGGCGGGAGTTTGGTGGGTCCACGGGACGAGGCCAACCAGTCTCTCTCCTTCCACTTCCACGTCAGCCCGGAGAACTCGACTTTGTTCGAGGACCTTCAAGGGTTTGCCAACGGTACCTTCTACTTCGTGATCCGCCCGTACGCCTACGGCAACAGCACGGTAGAAGTCACGGGATGCGACAACGGGGACAAGAACGCGACTTGCTACACGGCAGGACACAGGCTGACCTTTGTTGTGATCCCCGTCAACTCTGCGCCATCCGTCGGTCTGCCGAGCGACGTCTGGCTGTGGGTCAACCCCTACGACACCCGGGAGTCAGGCATGATGCTGCAGGAGTGGTGCTGCTCTCCCTGCCCCTCCCTTGACCTCTCCTGCAACTTGAACACGGGTTGCTGCAGCCCTTGGACTTCCTGCGGAGGCCTCAGGATCCTTCCTGCTGTTGCCAACTTCTCTGCTGGGCCTTACGAGGCCTTCCAGCATGTCAGCTTCTCAGTGACTGCGGGTGAAGGCAGCGATGTTGACTTGAAGATCGGAGAGAACGGGAACATCACGCTGGTTGTACCCCCGATGTTCTCCGGGAACTCTTCGTTTGTCATCCTCACCACTGACGACGGGGGAGGAGGAGTGATCGATGGGCACCAGGCTGAAAACTCGTCCACCCATCTGTTGACAGTGAATGTCATGCAAGGGTTCCTGCGCATCGCGTTCCAGTTCGACTTGTTCAGTGACGGTCAGCAGACCACGTCAACAGATGAGGTGGTCTCGGGCGTGAGAACAATGATTGCGGGGCAGACTCAGACTGATTGGCTGCCGATCGTTCTTCTGTCGTGCAACTCGTCTGATGAGCAAGTCGCTACGATGGAGTTTGCAGTCATCGCCTACCAACTTTCGTCATTGATGGACATCAACAGCAGAGCCAAGTCTCTCTTCAACTCGAACATCAGCTATGATTCTTTAATGCTCGATCAGAACATGGAGAGCTGGCCGGATCAGTTCGAGGCTGACGCCTTCGGCTGCAACTGCCCCGACAGCATCGCGAGGGTCAACCTGGGCTCCATTTCTCTCCTTTACTCCTTGATGGAGACGAGGAGCCTGACCGAGATAGTCCAGCAACCCCCAGACTTTGACATCTTGACCATCATCGTTGTCAACGAGAGCAGTAGAGTCTCGGTCCCGATCATCTCCAACATCCGCGTTGACAGCGGGCTCTTGATGGAAGACGGCAGTCAGGTTGGCTCCTCCTTCTCTCCCTCCCTCTCTCTCACTGACTCCTGTCTTTGCAGTACGTGAAGTTTGTCGTTGCCCCTTCTCGATTCCGATCGCCGGCGTCTGTATTTCTCTGGAGTCCCTCCAACGGTACCTTCGGAGATTTCTTCCGCAACCCACCGACTGTCAAGGCCTCCTGCTCCCCCTACTGCCTCTCAGCTGAAATCGAGCTGGACACTTCCTTCATCCACGGAGTCGTCGAGCTCTCGGTCACCTTGTTCTCGAGGAGGACTCAGTTGTACACCACCAAGTCGATCCTGGTCGCCATCCAGCCTGTCGCACACCCGCCGAGCGTCCGGCCAAGATATGCCAACAACCTGACCATCCTCGAAGACAACGGAACCTGCGTGTACGACTCCTGTACCTTACACACCTGGCAGTTCAGGCTGTTTGAGGTCTTTGAGGACAAGGACGAGTGGTTCCGAGGAGGCGACACGCTGCATGTGCTAAGCAGCGACCCTGAGCAGGTGGAGGTCCGCACGGTCTACTCTGACTTCGTGTACCTGGAGATTCGGCCAGGGCTGCACGTGCATGGAGTCTTCAACCTGACAGCTGTGGACTCGACCGGCCTGTCGACCTCACCTCCTCTACGGCTTATAGTCCAGCATGTCAACCATCCTCCCTTCGTCCGCAACAACTCCATCCTCAACTACACGCACTACGAAGACATCCAGCCTCCCCCCCTCAACCTCAGTGACATCTTCTACGACGTTGACTTGGAGGATCATCACGACCCGTACGCTCCACCAGACACGTTGACTTACTACGCGGTCAACAGCCGGCCAGACCTCATGGAGATTCAGATCGTTGGGGACAAGCTCGTACAGTACCTCCTGCCAAACCAGCACGGGCTGATTGAGGTGACTGTAACGGCAGTCGATTCTATGAATGTTTCAGTTACAGCAACGTTGACCTTTGATGTGGTGTCTATCCCCGACGCTCCTTTTGTGATGAACCTGCCGACTTTCGTCGCTGGCATCACGATCTATGAGCAGCCTGCGACTGCCCAGGAGCTTCGCTTCAACATCTCTTACATGTTCGGAGACTTTGACGACTGTCGCACTATGGCTATCAAGATTAAGTGTTTTCACAGCGTGCCAGTCGTCGATTTCCTCACCATCACCACGCAGACTAATTGGACATCTTGGTTTCAAGTTGCTATCGAAGGAGATGAGCTGCTGGTCATGCCGCTTCCTTACATGCACTCCTATTCCGTCAGAGAGCTTCACTTTGACATCATAGCGCACGATTTGTACAACCTGACATGCCTCGTCTCAGTTCCGATCTGGATCGTACCAGTCAACAATGTGCCTATCCCTCTTATCACACCCCTGGCGTTCATTGAAGGGCAAGCTCCGGTCAAGTACCTGGTCGGAACCCTCAACGACTTTCCCAGCACAAGTTTCAACCTGTCAACCGATGCGGCTTCCTTAGGGACCATCGCGTTCGTCGACTTCGATGCTATCACCAACCTGTACAGTGACAGCCTTCGTTTCTCCTTGTTCACAGATCAGCCCAGCATGCTCAACGTCTCCCTCCGCGCCTACGTCAACGGTACTGACAGCCCCTGCGCGTTCCCCTTCGAGCACAACGGGCAGATGTACGAGAACTGCACCAACATCGAGTCGATCTACCAGGGTCACGTCTCAGTCTGCAAGGACCAGCAGGGAGACTGGGGTGTGTGCAGGCACATGTTGTCGATAGATTTCGTGCCAGGGCAGTTCGGCCGGGCAGAGATTTTCATCACGGCAACGGATTCATACGGAGGGAGGGTAGAGGCTTCGATTCCTGTGAACGTGTCGATGATCAACACTCCAGTGAACTTCTCGATGCCTTCAGAGCTGAACGTCGTGACCATCACCTCCTCTGAACTTGTGCAGCTGACGACCAAGTCGTCATTCGTTCATATCCATTCCATGGGCTCTAGGTCGCCCCTCCCCAAGTCGGAGGATGAATGCTTCAGGCCGCCAGTGCTGACCACTGACTGCCATAGCAACTCCTCCCCAGGCCAGGTCTACACCTTCCACGTCCAAGTGGCAAACAGGGGCTTGTTTGATATCCTTCCAATCGTGACAGTCCAGGGAGATCTTGTCTTCAAGCTCAAGATTGGCGTCCAGGGATCGACGGTCTTGCAGGTTTCTGCGGTGGACAACGGAGGATACTCAAACGGAGGAGTCAACACGTCAGTGAAGGAGCTGTCCCTGAACGTGATCGAAGTCAACGAGCCCCCCTTCTTCAAGATCAACCCAACGCTTCAGGCCCTCGAGCGAGTCTCCCAGGACCAGACCCTCTACCAGTATGAAGGCTTCGCCTACAACATCGACCCAGGCGCTGGGCTGATCGAGGCATGGCAGAAGCTTACCTTCCATGTCGAGCTTCAGACTGAGGCTCCTGGAATCTTCGAACTTGCTCCTACAGTCTCCCCGAACGGAACCCTCAGCTTCCTCCCCAAGATCTACAGGCACGGCACCTTTCTGTTCCGGGTCTACCTGGAGGATGACGGGGGCGGGAGGAACAGATCCATCGTGAACGAGTTCATCCTAGATCTGCTGCAAGTGAACAATCCCCCTACGTTCTGCATCCCCGACACCCTGACGTTGGTAGCGGAGGAAGAGTTCGTCAGTCCCCAATTCGTCACCAGCATCTCTACCGGAGGGCTGGACGACTGCGTCGACAGCTGCAACTGCTCGGCAGGTCCGTTCGGTCAGGAGAGGACGCAGAATCTCTCCTTCGTCATCGGGTACAGCGCAGACCAGCTGGAGCCCTGTTCTCAATTCGAGGCGAACAACAACATGAGCCTGTTCAAGGTTTACACCGACGGCACAGTTGCGATCCGAGCGATCAACTATGGACAAGTGAACGTGTCGATCACTTTGGTTGACGATGGTGGAGTCGCCAACGGCGGTGTCAACCACACCACCAAAGAGATCCAGGTCTTCGTGAAGAACAAGAACAAGCATCCCTCCTTCACGCTCGCCTCTGACTCGAGGATAGTCGTCAACGCAGGCAGCTCAGGATTTGTTGTGTTTGCGGAGAACGTCAGCTCGGGTTACTGCGAGGAGTTTGCTCAGCCCGTGACCTTCTCGCTCGAGGTGGTTGATTTCTGCCTTGCGAGCATCCGGTCGTCGAACTCAACGGTTCTCGACTTCGAAGAGACTCTCTCCGAATGCTCCCAGCGTCATGCGGCCACTCGGGCTGTTGAAATCTTCGGATGTCCTTCCAGCAACGTCTCCTCTCTCAACTCGACGCTCGAGTCAATCTTCACTGACGGCGAGTGGCCGACCCTCTACCCCAACGGCACGATGCAGCTCAGTCTACAGCAAGGGAGGTTCGGCATATACGTGCTCCGTGTGATCCTGAGCGACGGCGAGCTGTGCTACTCGAGGCAGTTGGAGTTTGTAGTCCAACCAGTTAACGTCGCGCCATCCATGGAAATGCCGGAATTCTTCAACACGACCGAGCACCCATCAATTGTGCGTGCTCTGTGTGCTTTGCTTCTTCTTGCCAATCTGACTTGCATGCCGCAGGGGTCTACGGTGGACCAGCCTTGGGTCCACGTCATCAGGAACGTGCGGGCCGGGGTGTGGGAGGACTATCAAAAGATCCGGTTCACCATCCGCGGTCTGGGAGTGACACCCCTCGTACAGTGCGCCAAGGTTGCCCGATATAGTGAGATTTGACTAGCTGCTGACTTGACTCGCAGATGTTCTGCAACGACACGCAAGATCGCTCGTACGACCCGGCCTGTTCATACCCTCAAGACGGCTCTGCCCTCGTCGTCTGGTCTGGACAGTTTGAACCCTGCGCTTCCCACGTTGCGGAACTCGTGATCTGGTGATAGCTAGGAATCTCCATTTCCCGCTGCTGACGTGGCGCCAGGCCGTTCCCGTACTTCTATGGGGTCCAGGTGCTGGAAGTCACTTTAGAGGACGACGGTCCTCTCGAGACAATGCCTACCTCCTTCGTCGGAAACCTCGAGGAAATTGCTCCAGCCAACATCTTGCATCAAAACGTGACGGTGAATTGTTGCTGCTCGCGCAAACCTGGTAGTGACATTCTCGTCAGATTGAGATCGGGGCTGTGAATCAAGCGCCCAAGTTCGACCTGGCGTCGCAGGATGTGTATGCACTGCAGGATTCGTCCTGCTTCAGTCTCCCTCCGTTCCAGAGTGATCTTGCAAGAGCAAAGTGCAGGAGGTGACAGTTCGAAAGTGTGTATGCATGAAGTGTGATGGTTTGTTCCAGGAACGAAACAAGAACTTATGTTCGGATGGGGTTTGCTGTGAACATCTCCAAAGGAGACCCTGTCGAAGATCCGTTGCAGACTGTCACTTTCTACGTACAGACTTTGACGAGGAATGGGCAGTTTCTGGAAGAAGAACCATCCATCTCTGCAGACGGAACTCTGTCCTTCAAACTGGCTCGATCGCAGTTTGGAGTTGGAAACTTCACGGTCTTCAGCATGGATTCGTTCAATGTGACATCGCAGATCAAAGTTTTCCGCATCATCGTGATCGATGTGAATGACAGACCGTACTTCTACATCTCGCCCGTTGTTTACGCGCTGGAAGGATCCGACTTCAATGCCATCGTCTGTTCCGACATAACCAGAGACTCGTCGGGGATACCAGCGAGAGATACGGAGAAGATCCAGACTTTGACTTTCTTGGTTCACGCTTTCAGCCCGGAGTTCTTTTTAGTGGCGCCAGCGATCAACACGAACGGCGCCATGACATTCAAACCCAGACAGTTTGCCTTCGGCTCGATCAGGGTCAGCGTGCAGCTCAAGGACAACGGCGGCACCGCCAACAACGGCAAAGACACGTCTGTAGCTAGGAATGTGACCCTAATTGTGTTGCCTGTCAACGAGGTAACTCCTTCTCGCGCGCTCTCTCTTTCTGACTGTCGTCACTCACAGAAACCAACTTTCTCCCTTAGCTTCGGAGTCTACATTTTGGAGTCTCCCAACTTGCGCACTGTGACAGGATTTGCCAACAATCTCACGGTAACAACTACCTAACCTCTTCGCTCCTGCCTCGCGATCTCTTTAACAGACAAACCAGGCTGGTCCACCCAACGAGAGAGGGATATGCAACGTGATCCCTGGAGGGTGCGAGAGTCAGAGCTTTAAATTCTTCACGATCAACGTGTCGAATCCAAACCTATTCGTGATCCTCCCTACCATCCAAACAGACGGAACTCTGATCTTTCAGGTACCAGTGCCGTCCTGTCGACTTGACCGTCTGCTCAAGATTGACCTTTCTTTTCAGACGTGTAAGTTCTGCACCGGCATGACGACCTTTTGCGTTGGGGCAGAAGACTCTGGCTACAAGCCTCCCATTGACCTGTCAGGTCAAAACACATTCTCTCAGTGATCCTCCTCCTCACGACCAATGCAGGTTGCAAGATTTGCGATGGGAGCTTGACGTCGAACGCGACCTGCTGCTATCAGCAGGAAATGGTGAGGGCGCGAGCGCGGTTCTTTGATCTTCTGACCATTCGCTGAAGAGCGTCGGCACGTATGGCAGCAATGCTTCCGACGCCAAGTGCGCGGAGATATATGTCGAGCCAGCAGACGCGAGGCCGGGTACGACAGCTCCTGCCTGTTGACCCTACTGACGGCTCCACAGGCTTCCGGCTCTCATGGAACGTCACGTGCAACACTGTTGACATCCAGTCTGCCAACTGCATCTGCCCGCAGTACCCTTACATCCCCATGAAGTCGAACCTCTCCATGATGATGGATGGGTACGTAGCGGCTGCTTCTCCCACCGCTCCCTGACGCTCCCACAGTTCCCTCGCCTTCCACAGTTCCAACGCCTCTGCCTGTACCAGCCTTGTCGGGCCCCGCGCTTCCGAGAACTTCGTGCAAGTGCGAGTGGTGGAGGATGGCGGCCGGTACGCGATTTCTTCGTTTGCGACCACAATAGCAGCAGCGGAGGATTATGCGGAGCCAACGGACACAGTGATCACAGCTCCTTCGAGCAGCAGCTTGCAAGAAGGGGACCTTCAGTTCATGCAGAGTCTGCCTGACAACACGTTCTTGACTGCCGGGTTGGAGTTCGCGTCGAGTCGCACTAAGTCGGGGAGAGGTCACCAACGAATCGATGCGCTAACGCTGGTTGACTATCAACACAGGCTTCTCCGTCTTTCCGGAGCCAGTGACCAACACGATCTCCCTATGGGATGATACGACAGCTGGACTTCAGTTTGTTGACCGAAGATCGCACAACGAGGCAATCTTGACTTGACTTGACATCTTTGACTGCTCGATTGATTTGTTTGACTTCCTCTCCAGGACCGTGTCCGCTTCCTTGCCAACTCTCAAGTTGACACCGGAGATCAGTCAACGGCTGGCAATCCGATCGATGTCCTGCATGACGTCTGTAGACTGGGATCGTTCGACAGCTCAGTAACCGGATCGTTCTACTCAGCTACAGGGTGCGAGCTCCTGTTCAACAGCGAGCTCTACTCCAACAACCTCACGTACGAGTCCCAATCCGATTGGGACTACGTGGTGGGCGACTGGGAGTTCAGCTCCCGGTCCATGTACGTGAACAAGGCGCAGGGCCCGATGAAGGTAAACAAGTTCGGCAAACAAGTGAATCAGTCTGTCACCTGCGACAGCCGGGTGTGCCGGTACGAACGTGAAAGGATAATTAATAGCGATTGCGCCGAGAAGTATCCTACCTGGATCTCCCCAGCGACAATTCGAGACAACTCAGAGCGATTAGGAGCAGCGGTGCTCCTCGGCACCCTCGGCACCAACGGCCCTGCCTGCAAGGATGCCACCAACGAGTTCGATACAGTCAGGGAGCAGTCCTTGAGCATTGAGAACTTCCTGAGTTCTGTCGACGACGTGGAGGCGCTTCTGTTTGACGCGAACGTTAACACGGGGCTTTTGATCACCGACAACATCGATGACGTTGTGACCGGAGACCCTGCCACCTCGCAACTGCCGCTGGAGGAATTCTATGGAGAAGCTCTGTTCCAAGTGAACGCGTCCTTTAAGATCGAGCATGCTCTCTTCAGTGCTATGCAAAGGAACAAGTGCAGCTGGACTCGGACCAGCAACTGTGGCTGTGAAAAGGGGGTCCGTATGACCTGGCGCTTTGAAGGATCAGGGGTAATAATTTTCTCTTTCGCTCTTGCTGTAGAGAAACCGGACGCAAAAATCTCCCACTACCAGGGGTTCCAGTCGCTGGGCGTCTGGCCCGGGATCGGATACGTCACCTTCGTGGAGTGGACATCGGATGTTACCTTCAAGGAAGGCGAATGGATTCACTACGTGGCCACCTACGACGGAAAATACTCGAGAATTTACGTGAATGGGGAGGAGAAGTTGAAGCAGTACATGTGTACGGCTGTCTGCCCCGATGAAAGCTGCTCTTGCGGAAATATCATATATCCGGCGGCCTACCACACCTGCCCGGATTTCTGCACCTGCCCAAATGCTGAATGCGAGAAGAAAAAGTGCCCCTGTGGGTCCAATGGAATTTTCAAAGGATGCCTTGACAACAACGATGTTGATGGGAACACGCTTGTGGGGATCGGAGTATACATAGAGAAGAATCCTCCTTCCGTAGCAAAGCATGCAGGATTGCTGAAACATCTCCGAATCATGAAGAAGGCCATGCCAGCCGATTACATCATGCAGAGATACATGAACTACTCGTACATCTTCCCATTGAAGAACGTGCCTGACAGGTTCTGGTACAAGTCCACAGGGCAGGGAAACATTGACGCGCCATCTTGCCAGCCCAAAGTTCCGCTAACGTCACCCAACATTACTTACGTGAACACTGAGAGTCTTCTAGACGCAGTCTTCACTGTAAGAGGACTGTTCGCGCAGAACAGCCAGTATCGGGCGATGTTCTCCTTTACGGGTGTGGACGGCAAGCAGAGCATCACGACTAGCTGCTCCATGGAGTCTGTGAACGCTCTGAACTGCATGTTGCCCACCAAGAGAGCCTGGAACTTCGGAGTGAGGGCAAGCATCTTGTCTATCGTCGAAGTCAATGGAGGTGTCGAGCAGTACCTGTGGAGCCGTGCTTGTCTTATTGCCATCTGTGGGTATTTCGATCGCAATAGTCCTTATCGAGTAGCGGACAAGCCCTGGTTCGTGTCGGCAGATTGTTGCAATGTTGCCAACTGCGGTCCTTTCTCCACCACCAAGGATCAGTGCTCCTGCACGACTAACTTGATGTACTCGAACGCAATCTCAGGCTCCATCACTTACATATACATGATCTCGCACTCCAAGTCCCTGGCGCTTCAGAGCGACGGGTCGCTGACCAGGATCCAAAACATTGCGCAGACCAAAGACAACTCCGTGGCTTCATGGATGGACTTTGGGGTGTTCGATGACGTCCAGAGGCCTTTCAGCTCCTACTCATCGCTGCTCATTCTCGGGAGCTCCAACATCAGGTTTGAGACGATCGGCAGCAGGGACTACCTGTTCGGGGTGAACTTTTGGGATGGTCTACAGCATGAGACCCTGTCACCGATCTTCGAGGTGAAGAGGACGGGAACTTCGTATCTGCTTTCCCATGTCCAGAGCATTCCCACTTCTGCTCCACGGGACATCGTCTTGTTCAAGTTCCAGGAGGTACAGTACGTGGTAGTGGTCAATTACAACTCCAACAGCAAGATCTTGAAATGGAATGGCCCCTTGCCGGTTGATAACATTCAAGTCATGGACAGAGGACGCGGGTACATCAATGGCGACCTGAGAATGTTCTGCAAGCAGGGAAGTGCAGGCGACGCTTGTCGTATGCGCACAGGGTCAACCAACATCAACTCGTTCAAGGGAAGCTTCGTCGTAGACGGGTCTGTGACAAGTGGCTTCTTGGGTACGATCACAAATGTGAGTATCGAGCAGACGGATGCTTACTTGCCCGACTTTGACATCAAACCGGTTTACTCCAACACATTCCAAGTGATGGACGATTCGATCACCTCGTTCAGGGTTGTCAAACCTACCAAGTTCTGTTGGCCTCGGCTTATTCAGACGGTGGAAGTGATAGGAAACTCAACTATCGGTTGCTCAAACACCTCGCAGTTCGTGATGAATCTGACGGCTTTGAATCGCAAGGACGTCAAGCAGGGGCTTGTCGTCAACGTTAAGAGTGTCGACTCCAACGGTACCATCCTTGAACTTGATGTCCCGAATGTCTCCATGGCCTGTGAGCCTCTGCTGCTCCCTCTGGACTCCAAGACCTGCCGATGCCTCCTGGGAGACTGGCGCAACTGTCTCCGCCTCTCACCCTCCATCGACTCCTTCCAACTCGGATCTGTTGAGCCTGGCGGCTTCCAGGCCCAGGTGACCCTCGACAAGAGCGCCGTCATGGCGGGGTCGAAGCTGCTTAACCATGGGCAAGGCTACCTCGCCGATCCTACTTTGAAAGTTTCCCTTCCCAACGACGCAACCTGGGACCCAACACTAGCGACCTGCCTCGGTAGCAGCCTACAAGAATGCTTCGGGTTGGTGAGGGCTCAAGGCTCCTACAAGTGCAACGGAGGAGACAAACACAACTTTCCTTGCTTCACCTTGGGCAACGACCCTCTGTGTCAAGGAAATTCGACCTACGATAACGTTGTCTACTGGGAGAACGGAGTGTGTGCGGTGACGAAGAAAGCGCTAGTGATCGCTGCTCCTGTCATAGACGCTCCTTCTCAGGCTGCTCCGAGATACTTCAGCCAGCAAGACGAATCTTGGACACCCTCGCCGGTGGTAAGCAGACTCAGTCCGGTCAACCTCAATGACGAGCTGAAAATCCCGGTGGTTGGGGCATCGGGCCTTGCAATCTTCGAGCAGCCCGACCACTACCTCCTCTTCTTCTCCTTGTACTTGGACCCCCTCACCAACAGCTACGGCACGCTCCCCCAAGTCTTCAAGTTCTTCGACTTCTCCTCCATCCAGCAGGTGGACCAGTCCCACCTCTCGCTCATCCACGACGTTTACAGCGTCAGCACTACCTCGATCCCTACCTGTCGCCAAGTGTGCAGCATCAACATCGGCGTTGAGATCTGCGAGCCTATCTGCACCGACTACGTCCTCTACGTCTTCTACGCCAGTATCGCCTTCGGCGATTCGGTCTTGTACCAGTGGAATGCAGCTTCTTCAGAGCTCCTTCCCATCCAGTCTCTCGGAGTTCAAGGCGTCATGACAGCCAGGCCGTTCGCTCTCTTTGGCAGCAACTACCTAGTCGTCAACCTGCAGGACCAGTCCTCCATCATGTACAGGTGGAACGGAACGCTCTTCCTCCAGTCCAACGACATCAACACCCTCCCCAAGGACGTGGCAGGCGGTCAAATCCTGACAACCACCTCCTGCGACTCTCTCGTGATTGACACGCCCAACAACGTCTCGTTCTTGCTGGCAGGCAGCTGCGACGGGCAGTCGTCTAAGTTGTACCGCTCACGAGTAGAGAGGGTTACTGGGATGCAGGTGCCGGTCAAGGTGGCCATCAAGGATGTGTCAACTAGCAAGTCATTCGTGTACGTGGCGAGTTATGACAGTCAATCGATCGCGCTGTTCGAGTACTCCAGCACCTTCTACTACAAGTCGACCATCTCGGGGCTGCTTAACCCGAACATGAACGGACTGAGCGACATCGAGGTGTCCGGCAGCCTCCTGTACTGCATCAGCTCATTGGGGGAAGGAGATGGAGCAATCCATATCTTCTCCATCAGTTCAGAAGGAACTCTGTCCCTTGTGACCACCGTGAGAGCGTCCGACGCTGAGCACGGGCTCCGAGGGGCTCGTGCGTTCGCCATCTCCAACAGCTACCTGTTCTCAGTCTCCCTCTTCGACAAAGCCGTAACTGCGTTTAAAGTGCAAGGCAACGGCTTGCAGTACTTGGATCACGTCTACAGCGGCGAGAGGTTGATAGATCGTTTCCCTTCCCCTCCCCCTCTCTACACCAGCAAGACAGTGTCAGAGCCAATCGGGCAACCAGTTGAATGGTTGTCAGGCTCGTTTCCTGCTCGATTCAGTGATGGCTATCCCTGGAGCAGTCATGCCTACACAGCCAAGATGTGTCAGATCGAAGACAAGACTTTGTTCTTCGTGGTCCCCGGGCAGTTTGGCGACCAGACCCCGGGCCCTGTGCTGATCTACCAGTGGAAGAACGGGACATTTGTGAAGCTTTCGGAGTTCTCCTCCGAGCTTTCAGCCACCGACGTTGCCTGCATATTCGATTACGACTCTGAGGGCGTCGGCTGGAACTTCATCGTGATCTCGGACGACCTTGGGGCATCGAGGATGTACAGGTTCAACCCGACACTGCAGAAGTTCTACTTGTTCAACACCCTCCCCAAGAGCTTGCCGGGGGGCACCTCGATCCCTCCTGCATGCGGCGCCGACGGCTCCTGCTCCTCGTCCAACGAGTTCGTCATCCCCGGCATAGACCGACCTGTTCCTCCCTGGACAGGCAACCCGCACGACTCGATCCGAAGGCTTCACGAGTTCAAGATCGATGACGTCAGCTACTTGGCTGCTGCTAGCTGGTGGCCGGACACCGGCAACGGGTACTCGTGGTTCTCGTACCTCTACCGTTGGCAGGCGTCCGGCTTCACTCAGGTGGCTGACAACACGACGGCCAAGGCGTCTGGGTTCGCAACGTTCCAACTTCTGGAGACTGACGGGGCCAACGACGTTAGCACGATGACGGTTAGCCAGCCGTGTGACTCTGACCCGACGGTGACTTGCTCGATCGACTTGCTGCTGGTGGTCAACTACGGCAGCGTCTCTAACGCCTCGGTCAACGTCTACCGATATTCCAGCAGCGGCCTCAACAAGTTCACCGGCAACCCCGGCGCCTTCTACAGCATCCAGGTGATCCCTGGAAAGGCCATGACGGGGGTGGAAGCGTTCAGTGTGAATGGGAAGGATTACATAGCCATCTCGATGCAGTGCGGGAGTTCGGGGGTAGCTGGATGTAACCCCATCTCGATCTATGAGTGGAAGCAGAAGCAGTTTGACTTGTTCTACAACCATGTTTCTTCCATGTCGCCCATCACCGATGTCACGGCCCTCAGGTTCTTTGCCTGGGCAGGAGAATACTACCTCGCCTTCGCACAAACCAAGTGTCTGCTCCTCAACACGAGTTCTTGCGAATGCAAGGCAACCCCGTGCGTTGAGGTTCAGAGCGGCGTTCTGCAGTGGAACAGGATCTCGAAAAAGTTCGACGAGATGCTCTCCTTGACGGACGCCACCAACGTCAGGCTCAGGGGCGTTCCGGTTCCCGACTCCTTTCTCACGCAGCACAAGCAAGCCCTCAGGTTCCCCATAGGTTACGTTCGCTCCATCAACTTGGCGATAGTTGACGGCATCATGCTCCTGCTCTACTCCAGCTTGACCCAAGGAGCCGTCAGCGTCGAGTGGGACTTCCCAGAGATCGTGGGATTCAACGGGCTGCGATCGATTGTGGCCGACACAACAGCGTCGGTTGTCTACGCCGTCGCATCGGAAGACTCGGCGCTTGTAGCCCTCAAGTTTCAATCTAACAGCCTTAAGTTCATCCAGACATGGTCGCAGGACCCACTGCCCATGAGCCGCACCCTCTTCTCCTTCTGGCAAGGCATCGTCGGGCTCAAGGGCGTACAGGACGTCTCCTTGTCCAGTGACAACGAGCTGCACGTGCGAGCGTCTCCTCCCAAGGGAGAGTCGCTATGCAGGAGGGAGAGGATCTGGCCGGGATGGGCCCTCCCGTTCAGCACTGAGTTCTCACAGCCCCTCCCTTGCCAGCTCGTCACCTTCACCGTGACGCAGATCTCGACGAGCAACGAGAACTTGTTCAGCCTGTCTCCCTACATCACCAGCGACGGCCTCCTGGTGTTCGAAACGGCCCAGGGGGAGAACGGAGAGGCTCTCTTCTCCGTTTCCTTGCAAGACGACGGGCTCGCCAACGGATGGGTCGCCTACTTCGATCCGATCTTCTACTCCGGGAGGGCCTACACCCCCCAAGTCCTGCAGCTCCTCCCCGCCGGCGAGTTCGTTTCCAAGGTCTCACACTTCAAGGTGGTGGTGGATAGCAGGAACAGCGCGCCATACTTCACAGCGACGCCGATCCAGGTGGTTCAGGGAGACGTGAGCCACTCGGTTGTCTTCACTTCCCAGCTGAGCGCCGGCGCCCAGAACGAGTTCGACCAGGTCCTCACGTTCACGTTCTCGTGGAATTTCAGAGATTTCTCTGCTGGGAAACAATGCAAGGAGCAAGACGCCCTTCTCAGCTCGTTCACCGTCTCTCCGACCGTCGACAACCTTGCCATCTGCAAGCAGAAGTGCGTCCAGGCCAACTGCAGGTACCTCACATACAACCCCGCGTTGGGGAGGTGCTACTCTTCGTCCGTGTGCAGTCTGGTAACTTCTACTGCGAGCACAGCTGTCTTGCTGTATCCAGGAGGATTCTTCAAGGAGGCCCTGAAACTCGATGTGGTCAAGAATACAACAGCGACTCTTCTCTACGGAGTTGCCAGCTTCACTCCCTTCCCCGAAGCACGGGGAGTGTTCACGTTGCAGGCGACGGTGTCGGACAACGGGGGTCAGTCAGTGCTAACTGGGAGCAAGAACACTTCGGCCCCTCAGCAGATCACGCTGACAATCATCTCCAAGAACAATCCTCCCACCTTCGACCTGCCCCAACAGGTCCAGGTTCAGGCGAACTCAGGTCAGAACCTTGTTACCGAGTTCCTCTCGAACGTGAGCGCTGGGATCAACGAGTGCCTCTGCGGCTTCTCCTGCCTCTACGACATCTCCATCACCCCCTGCCAGATCGTCTCCTTCACTGTCGTCTCTGTCTCCGCGGGCAGCATGACCTTCCCACCCTCGTACCTGTTCTCTGCTTCCTCCTTCGACACTGCCACAGGAAGCTTCTCCTTCTCCCTCGTCCCTCACATCTCCGGCGTCTACAAGGTGTCCCTGGCTGCCACCGACAACGGTGACGCCATTCTTGGAGGGCCGGAGGTGGGAGGCATCAACAGGACGATCCAAGATTTCAGCATGAGCGTGCTGCTCGTCAACGAACGGCCCACGTTCTCCGTGCCGACCCAGGTCCTCGAGATCGTCGAGTCAACGTCGAGCGGAGTCAGGTCGGGAGGGAGTTACTTTAACATCCAGTCGGCGGGCTCGGGGAATCCGGAGATTGACCTGTTCTTCTCAGTCAACATCACAGTCCTTGACATCTCCTGCTTCCTCCCCTCCGGCCGGCCGCTGGCTTGCTCGTCTCTCTTCGAGAGCTACCCAGTCTTCGACGCCAAGGGGGGAGTCTCCTTCGTCTCCTACCCCAACTCCCACGGCAACGTGACCCTCACTGTCCTCATGGCCAACACGGGCCCTCTGCCTCCCGGAGGCTTCGCGACGTCCCTTGCCTACGTCTCCATCCTCAACATCAACAAGCCGCCCAGGTGTGACTTTCTCCAGCGTTACCTCATGGTCGAGGACGCTGGGCCCACGATCATCAGCAACTTCGTGCAGAACGTGCAGCCTGGCCCGGCCAGTGAGAGTTGGCAGACGGTCTTTATACGAGTGCAGGCGGTCGACGAATCTCCCTCCTCCTTCGTGGTGGCCCCAATCGTGGACTCCAACGGAAACCTCTTCGTGCACCTTGCCCCCTACTTCTTCGGCACAGCAACCTTCCAGGCTGTTTGCCAGGATGACGGAGGGAGTTTGAACGGAGGGAACGACCAGTCCGTTCCTGTCAAGGTTCTGATCAAGATTCTCCCGCGTCCGAGAATCTTCTCGGTAGCAACTGAAACCTCCACGACTCCAGGGAGCTCTCTGATGGTGTACGGTCGTTACTTCTCCTATCAGCTCTCCGACGTTTGCGAGCGTTCGAGTGTGCGCACCAACATCTACATCGGCCAGCAGCCCTGCGGGCAAACGACTGTCGAGGGGGATGAGGCCTGCCGTTGCGACTTTCCGCCGGTCAAGTTCGGAGTCAGCGACCTGCTCGTCGTCGCCGACATCCGTTGCGACGCTCTCAACTCAACTGTCAACGTCACAGTGACGGGGGTAGGCAACGGCTCCTTCGTCAATCCGCTCTTCCTTGCTGCTGGTCTCAACTACTTCGGCCTTGGGTCCAACGAGTACCAGCCTACCCTTTGCAACTCCTCCTGCTCCGGCAACAACACCTCAATTTTCAACGAGACCTGCGTCCTGTGCTCTGACAACTCGACTGTGCTCGCACCTCCCTCCTCTTCAGGTTTCCAAACTTCCAAACAAGACGTCGCGCGCGTTCAGAAGTCCAACCTACCCATCGAGGGAGTGGTCAGAGCTGCGTGTGTAGCCAATCGAACGGTCCGTTCCCTCATCTCTTACAATACTTCCCTCCGGCTCCATCCCCTCACCTTGTACCTCTCCTCCTCTCCTCCTCTCTTGTTTCTACCCCTCTTCTCCCCTCTTCTCTCCCCTTCTCTCCTCCTCTCCTCCTCTTTTCCCCTCTTCTCTCTACCCCTCTCCTCTCCTCTTCTCTCTTCCCCTCTTCTCCCTTCTTCTCTCCTCCTCTCCTCCCCGGCATGCACCTTTGACCCTCTCGCTCTCCAGGTCTATCTCGGTGGGAGTTTCTCGAGGGTCTCTCAGAAACGGATCGAGTATGCAGTCCGATGGGACCTGCAGCAAGACATCAACAACGCCGATGTTGCTGTCAAGACGCTCGCAAGAGGGGTCAACGGAGCTGTCAACGCCATCAGCAGCTATGCGGTAGAAGAGGAGGAGGGGAGGAGCCTGTCTCTGACCTCTCTCAGGGCTGGATTGTCTACGGAGGAAGCTTCACCTTTGCTCTTCAGACTCACGGCAACCCGTTACGTAGCGGCGGGCTGGTGGCATGGAATGAGATGAAGGAGGTCCAACCCATAAATCTTCCTTCCCTTCGTGGATCCCGCAACACCTCTCCCTCCCCTCCACCTTCTCCTCTCCCTCCCCTCCACCTTCTCCTCTCCCTCCCCTCCACCTACTCCTCTCCCTCCCCTCCATCTTCTCCTCTCCCTCCCCTCCACCTACTCCTCTCCCTCCCCTCCACCTACTCCTCTCCCTCCCCTCCACCTTCTCCTCTCCCTCCCCTCCACCTTCTCCTCTCCCTCCCCTTTCCTCTTGCCTCTCCTTCAGCAGCTCATCTCCTGCTTACCTGCATTCTTCCTTCTCTCCCCCGCCCCCCCCACCCACCCCCTTATCAAAGGTTCATCGCTGACGACGTGGCGGCAGGAGTGGTCGTTGGTGGGGAGGAGCAAGCTCAACGGCAACGTCGAGTCGATGGCGGTGTTCCGAGGGCAGCTGATCGTGGGAGGAAAGTTCAAGACGCTAGCCGGCCTGAACGTGAACAACGTGGCGTCCTATGAAGGCGACGTGAGCAGGTTCAGGAAATTCATAGGAGTGGCTCTCGATTGACGTGTTGCGAACAGCTGGAATGGATGGAAGACGTTGGGGGGGGGCATACCCAACGGGCAGATTTCAGCGATGATAGCAGATGAGAACATGCTCTACGTCGGCGGAGACTTTGTGAGAGATCCTGCGTAGCTTTCCTTCCCTCTGACTTGCTGCCAAGATGTTCAAGGGGAACTTGTCGTCGAGAAACATCGCTCAGTGGGACGGTCAGGCCTGGAGTGGCTTGCAGGACGAGGCCTGCCTGCGCCGATGTGCACGAACAAGGTGAGCAGGGGCATCATGGAAGGTTGCGAGGAGCGGGCGAGGAAGCGAGCAGGGGAGGGAAGAGCACACTCTCAGTGGAGGGACTTTCTCGTCAAGGAGTGATGCGAGAGGAAAGGAGTGATGCGAGAGGAAAGGAGTGATGCGAGGGGCAAGATGCGATTTGATGTCTGACTTGTACTCGTACAGTGACCATGTGGCGTGCGAGTCGGAGAACTGCGAGCTCAACGGCCCCGTCAGCTCTCTCGCCGTGGCTGGAGGGTCTCTCTTTGTTTCAGGGCTCTTCACGACGGCAGGGGGGAAGGAGGCGATGCATGTAGCTCGCTACCGTGACAGGGCCTGGCTGAGCATCGGGGCCGTCGAGGGCTCAGTCTTCTCCCTCATGATCCAGGCATCCTTTCCAGCAGCAGCCCAGGACGAGCAGCAGATCCAGGACCCCTCGTTCCCTGCCTTCTGCCTCCTGGTGGGCGGCTCCTTCTCCTCCGTCCGGACCAACAGCAGCGTCCTTGTCACCAACAACCTTGCACGGGCCTGCTTCCGGTCCTCCGACATGTGGGACTGGGATCGAGTGTCACTGGTGGCCGGCGGAGATGTGATACAGTTCCTGGCGATGGTGTGAGACGATTGAAGGATGTGAAACGATTTTTCGATCTTTTACACGCCTCTCACATGCCACCCCTGCAAGTTTGAATGCGAATCCCTGTTTCGTCACAAAAGACCAGTTCCAACCCCCCTCACACAATCCATCCAAGTCATCACTCAAGGTCTTCGAGCTGTTTCCAGCCTCCCCTTTCTGTCTCGGCGAGTACGAATTCATCTAAGATGTCGCGATGAGAAGAGATTCTAATCAGCTGCTAGTACGGGAACTCAACGGGGGGGGGGCGCACAAAGTGAACGTGTTTATGTACAGAATGTGACAATCTCATAACGTCTGACTTCGCTATCGTGCAGCTTCTCAACTGACAGCTTGTCGACTTCAATCTTCCATTGACTCTCGGGCTCCACTTGCAGTGCCAACCTTGTCGATGAGAGTGGTTGTTGTGGCGTTGTCTCAACTACAGATCCGAGTGCCTTGGCTTCAAGGAACGAGTGCAAGAGCTCTTGTTTCTCCTGCTCGACGCTCTTAGCGTCGTTTAACCGAGCGCGATCAAGCTCAGATAGCCTGTTCCTTTCACATCAGCGTTGCTGCCAGACACCCGAGACTATCAACCTCACCTAGTCAGTCGACATCTCCTGCTGTCCCAGACGTAGTCTCGGTACATGGGCCTTGCACATTGGTTCACGGGGTCAAGCTGAGGGTTAAGGAAGTAGTCGATCTCTTGCTTGTTCGAGCCAGCGACGTTGTAGCCCAGGAACTGCAGAGTTTGACAAGCACAGCAGAGTATGCTGGTCTCTATAGTCTCTTTGCGGCATTCCAAACACTTGACGTCCTCTCGAAGCTCTAACGGTTGACTGATTTCGGAACCCATGGAGAACCTTTGTCGCCCTTACAACATCGGATCTCTGTCTCTCTGTCTCTCTGTCTCTCTCTATCTCTCTGTCTCTCTGTCTCTCTATCTCTCTCTGTCTCTCTGTCTCTCTGTCTCTCTGTCTCTCTCTCTCTCTCTCTCTCTCTCTCTCTCTCTCTCTCTCTCTCTCTCTCTCTCTCTCTCTCTCTCTCTCTCTCTC